CTGGAGGCTTATAGATTGTTGCAATTGTTTTATTATGCTTTTCTAATTTAACTGATAAAAAATTGCAGTTATTATGTTCAAACTCATCAACAGTGTAAGCATTGGAGAATGATTTTAAAACGAAAATTGCAACTCCTCCACCAAGTTTCTTCCGAGTACAATGAAAGGAATGATAGCCTGGAAGATTGAAAAATTTAATATCACTGGGCTTAAGTCTCGTTTCGTTTAAAATAATAACTTGAAACTTTTCAGGACTGTTAGATACATAAAATGTGAGATCATTCAAACGATTTCGTAAACTTCGGATATTAAGGAAAAGTACGTTAAAAAATGGATTCTTGTATGAGCATGTTGCATTAAAATCATTGTCATGAGCTATTTTCAATGATCTAAAATTATTATTCATATGTGCAAAAAGATAAACAAGATTTTTCAATAATTCAAACTAATATGTGCAAGAATTATAAGGTGTTTGTGAATGTTAATGCGTATATTTAAAAGAAAACTCCCTTTTAACTCTTTTTCTTACTTCTTTTTCTCTTTGATGTTTTTCAAAATATATTATTCAATAATAGAAATAAAATTTAAAATTAATAAAAATAAATTAAAATGAATTTGAGGATTTTAATCTAACATGTATTTAAATGCGCTGAAATCTCTTTAATTTTCACAATATGTGGTTAATAATACATATAAAGTTAGAGTCACAGATTTGCGTCAAAGAGTAAGCCATGCAATAAGGAAGCGAGTAAGAGATCATCAGACAGGATATGGGAATCATTCCATGGACAAAATTCAATGGGCTTTGACAAAACAGAAACATTTAATTAGTAATCAACGGATTAGTACTCCAAGAGTAGAAATTATCAATGATAAGTTTCATTCTAGGGCGGGAATCCAGCATAAGATACTATCCTAATTAACTTTTAAAGTTTATGAAAAACTCTAACATAATTGAAAGCCTGCCCGTTAAAGATATAACGATAGTCGTGTTTTGGCACTGTCTTGCAGCTTTCGTTCAATTATGTTGACATCAATACAAGCCTGCCTGTTTAAATTTAAACAATATTTGTGTTTTAGCACATTTTCGCAGCTTTCGTGTATTGTGTCTTTCGACGATATATAAAAAAAAAAAAAAAGAAATACTGAGTTGATCATTTTTATGTTGATTATTCTAGTCCTGATTGACATCACACGCATCAAACTGCCCAAGAATTATCCCAAATGAAATCGTTAGATATCAGACAGAATCCTCACCTACACATACAAACAATCCAACATTCAAATGACAAATTTATTTTGACTCATGACTTTATACTACGTAAAGGGGTTAAGAAATTTAAAACTGAAAATATTAAATGATAGTGCAAACAAAACATAATTTAGTGGTATGACGGCATTATTATAAAGAGATTTCTTAATAGAGATTTTGAAGAATAAAAAGAATAAGAGGGAATTTTAAAAGAAGAAAATGATAAAAAAGGACTTATCTTGTTTATTTATGTTGATTAAAGATGTTAGCTAATTGATCAATTGATGTTATTTGTATTGGTTTTGAAGTATTGTTTTTTTTCATTAGTATTCGACCTTCGCTCTCCCAAATAAATTCAAAGCGCCCCTGATTTCGTTCACGTGCAAGAGAAAGCAAATTTTGAGAATATTTCGTAAGTTGATTCTTAATCGAAATTTGTTTTCCTCTCCATTTCGATGCACCAGCGAGAGTGAGAATGTCATCACAGTTTATCGGGTTTCGTCTTTCTTTCAGTCTCCTTAAAATTCTCTCCTTCCTTCCACTCTCCAGAAAGCTTCCCACAATCAACGTACTAGTTTTGTTTTTGTTATGACGGGCGAAGCAACTTTTTAACATGGATGATGATATTTCTTCATTTAACTGCGTTCCAATGTTGGTAAGTATCTCCTTAATATGACTGTTGTTAACTTCCGGTGGCAACCCATAGATAACAAAGTCGTTAGCAAGCAGTGCCTGTTGAATAGAGTTGATTTCCGATTCATTCCTTGTGACGTCAGCTCTAACATTCGAAAGGTCATCTGTGACTTTTTCTTGAGTGCTCTCAATAGTCGCAACTCGATTTGCCAGACCACGAACATCATTAGATATGCTGGTGACGCTCGAACGGATGTCATTAATGCTGCCAGCCATGTCAGAGACAACTTTCTGTTGAATATCAAATGACCTTTGCAAGCCCTCAATTTTTCTTCCGATGCCTTCCATAATCTCTTCAAACCGCTTTTCATCCATCATTGGTTTCTTTTTAGGTTGCTTAGTCTGTGGCTTCTGAGCTAAGAGCTTAGGTGAAGGTCTTGAATCAGATAGGGAGGACTCTGAGTTGATTTTAGCTCGAGATCTTGTTGCAGGAATATTGTTCGCCAGTTTTAAGTTTTATTCGATCAATCAGGATCGTTCGCTTGAAAACTTCACTAGATTCAGCTGAAGATGCGACCACTTTACTTGTTAACGTTAGATTGAATCCTCAAAAACAACACTTAGTGCTTCATTTAATAATATATTTAAAGAACACTAAAAAAATACGTCTTGATTGCAACAAAATTTTAACGGTTTTTCAATTTGATAATAGATACTTTAGTAGAAAGAAAATATTATCGTCTATCTATCATCCATCTTCAATTACTAATAACTAATTTAATATTTATCTGTAAACTTCTGTAATGATGACAACATCATTAAGCTTTAATTCATCTGGTATCGATAGCAGAGACTGTTTGTTGTATCGTAAATTTGTAGATATTATTGTATTGTAATTGTATAAGCTTAGCTTGTGAATTCAACTTACAAAGCATGTTCTTCTCAACAGGTAAGTATGACTGAAAAAGCACAGTAATCATAAAGTAATAATTACAAAAAAAAACTCTTTGCGATGTCTTTTTAAGAGATATTTTCTCAATTATACAGAAAGAAAAAAAAACTTCTGGACTTACGAAGAAATTGATTTCGAATCTGTCTGAAAAACATCTTCACGACCCTCAAAAATAAGAGAAAATCATGTAAAACAACTACCTTAGTTAAGTAGATAACAGTTTATCCCGTCGGCGATTTTATTTCTTTTTCTTATGTTTGATTCTTCGTAAGTATTGATCATTCGAAAGTTGAAGTCAAAGCAGTGGAAAGAAAATAATTTACATAAAAGTTAAGCTACTTGAGTGCTTTTTTCTCTTCTTTCACTTCCGACGGAACAAAATTATTACCTTTCCATGCTTGATACCACTTTAAGATGTTCTTAAGGCAGGCATGTAGCTAGATCTAAGTAAGAATGACATAGGTAAACGGAAACTTAGGTAAACACATTTAAAAGGATGAATTCTAAGGTGTAATTAACTTTTAATTCATGAATAAAGAAATAATTTAACGTTGAAGGTTGAAACATCAAAGATTTAACTTTAGTAGAGTTAATGGAAATTACTCCACATTTATTTTTTGTGTTTCTATTTTGAACCACACGCATAACTTGACGATCTCACGTTGTGATCAGATGATCTAAGATTGATAATGCTTCTGAGAGAAAGAAGAGTTTTGTGAATGAATGAAAACATAAAATAAAAGGTTGATTCTAGACATTCAGAATGAGAATGTTGACGAATCTTTCTTTAGATCTCGCTGGTTTTTGAATAAAATTTTGCAACTTCAGCTTTCAAATTGTTAACGGTGGTTTGGTTGGATAGACAAGAAATTATTGCTTGCTTACGTCTGAAGCTATTAGATATACATTTGCACATGAGGTTTTGGTTTTGTGTTATTTTTATCATTGACCAAGACATCTACCGCATTGATTGCAACCATGGTTTTATTTGTTCGTTTCTATTTCCATTAAAGTTCACGTCGGCCATTGTAATAAAATATTTTTTTCAGATGTTTCTATAAAAGCACAGATGAGAAGCGAGGAGTTTGATAGAATGTAGGTATGTTCATCAGTGAATTATTGTGATGGGAATTGCATTGCTAATAATCAATTAAATTAATAATCTTTTATTACTCACTGATCATTTTAGAACGCATTGCATTGCGAAGATAACTTTTAAATTAATTTTTGTTATTCTTGTAAGAGAGAATTTTTGGATTGAAGAAACTTTTGGAGATTTGAACAACAAATTTAGATTCCTTTTACGGGATTTTTGCTGATTTTTTTTAATATATATTTGGCGCATACGAATGTAGAAACAACAACCAAATGTAAGTTTCTTACGAGTTTTTCTGAAAAGGAAAAAGAAATAACATTTTCCCACTGTAATTATATTTAAGATGGTTGTGTTCTTATGAAATGATTTTGGTTGCTAAAACCCGTAAAGAATATTTTTATTGGCAATATTTTCTTTTCTTTTTGGATATTTGATTGTAGTCGGTTTGCATATGGAACGAGCGAGACGTAAAAACTCTTTTTTTTTTCGTATTATTTATGGGCAAAAACGCAATAAGATCTCCGAATTCGAATGGAAATACTCAACAAATTGAAATAAAAAAAATGGCATCTCACAGGGCAGAAAGTAAAACCAAGAAAACCACATTGCGTGTTCAGTTTTTAGTTTTATATCTTTTGCTATGAAACACGCACATTCAAAAGCCAAGATACAAAGGTAACATTAAATGAAGTAAAGAACAAACGGTGGCTCGCTGACTTTCATAATTTTTTTCAACTTTTTCTGTGGTGGCCAGAAGTGTCCAAGTCAGTTGCTTTATGCAGTTTGCTTCTGACACAATTTTTTTTAATTTGCTAAGTTGTAAGAGTTTCGTGTATCTGAAGAAAATTGTTTGAATTTTGTGTTTTGAAATAATTAGAAAAAAAAAACAGAACAAAACATGCCCTGTTGTCCAATTAATTTCGTTTTGTAAAGATGACATGAAAATGCTAAAAATGCATTCAGATGCACGATTTTTATACTTCATCGAAAGCTAAAAGCATCGTCTAAGACTTTATTTTATTTAAAATTATAGGTTTTAAAATATTTTAAACATGAGCATAAACATTCACTCTGATTCTAAATTTGGTTTAACTAACGGTTTTAGCTTTTAGCGTGATTTCAACATTATGGCATATACAACAGTCTATGCTTTCTCGAATTAAGGAAAGAAGTCTGTTGAGAATTGTTCTTGAAAAAGAACTTTCAGAAATATCTTTATTTTTGCTGTCAAGTTGGAATGTTTAATTTCCCACAAAAACTTTAAAAATTATCTTCAAATACAAAGAAATTTTCACTTGAATTTGTAAAGTTGACATTTTTTTGTATCTAATTACATATCAGTTTTACAGTACAAGTTATTGAACCTTGAAACTGTCAGTTTGCTATTAAATTAAATAAATCAACCGAGTCAGACATACTAATTTCTTTACATGTGTTTTGATCAAGTTGTGCTTGTACTACAACTCAATGTTTTGATCAATTGATAGTACGAGAAATTCCGAAAGTTTATCAATGATATTTCAATTTCAAGAAAAAACAGGAAAATTTATTTATCATTCATAAACGATAACTTATCATCTTTGCTATAATTTTAGATAATTTCAGACATTCGTTTGTTAGTTTTCCGTTTTCCATTTCATTTCCTCATCTCGTGAAAGATCGTGTTACAAAGTATTGAGAAAAACTATCAGGTACATTGAAATTGATTACTTTTCTCGTTAGAAAAACGACTTACGGCCACTTAGTGTCCAATTTGCATACTTCCTCGCCTTCTTTAATTTTATTCTCTTGCGGACTTCTTCCATAAGTGAGACTTTTATTATTCAACCGTCAAAAATCTTTTACGATTTGCTTCACACAAGGTTTTTTTGCTGCAATTGCTAACTAATAATTTTAACCCTCAGGCGAAATCTTTCAAAATGAATCTTCTAGTGACAATACTGGGTATATACATATTATTACACTGAGGGAGTTTTTTTTCTAATATTCTTAATCTTCTTCTAAATCATAAATAAAAATTTCATTACACTCTAAATTAAAACTTACATTTCTAATTCTTTTTTTACTCTTTTTCAATAATTCATATAACTTACTTCCATAAGCTATACCAATTAGAATAAATAATCCTAAATTTCAATATTTTTTCATTTTTTTAACGCTTTCTCACTTTATTCTTAACCCAAAAGATCTCACTCTTGAGTTAAAATTGTTTTACTTCAAATGCAAACTGAGATTTTTCTATCAATTCAATGTTTCCTTCTAGAAAGTTTTTAAATAAAAAATTACCTAACTAATTGAACGATTCAAGGAATCATTTTAATATAATATTTAACGGAAATTTGAAATTTAAATTTCAGAAAATTTTATTCCGCGGCTAATGAAGGTTAAAAACACAACGAACGTTCGCTATGCAGCTTGAATATGGAAAATCAACCCGAATGAAGGTTTCATTTACGAAGAATCATCTGTAATTGTAAACAAAACTTGATTCAAAGAATATTTTATATCAAAACGTAATATCTTATAAAATGTCACAACGCCAATGTTTACCTGTCGATGATTCGTCTGATAGTGATCATGAATTTGATTTGACAAAAATGACAGCTTTAGATTATTTAAAGAAAGTTCGATGTGAACGAAAGAAAATCGCTCAAGTTGTCACTGTTCATCCGATGAGAAATGGAGAATGTGAACGATTAGACAACGCAATTGTAAGTTAATTTATGAGTTGAAAATCTTAAATAAAAATCAACATTTTCACTTTCAGGAGAATGAAAACAAAATTTCAACTTTCGATCAACGAAATCCTACAAGAGAGTGGAGTGAGATACAGAAAGAAAAGTTTTTAAATGTCCAGCAACAAATTATTGAGCTAAGAAAATGTCCTTCATTAGATGAACGTCTAAATAGTCATCTAGATGTTGATACGACTGACGAAAATGAATGCATCAAGTTTTGTCAAACTTCACAGCCTTTGTTGTCAACAATTCTTCTTCTAAATCAAAAACAACTTGAAGAGTTAATTGAATGCCTTTCGAGTTATCTTGCAGATGAAATATTAAAGACAGAAACGGAACTTTATAAGAAATTAAATGACATGATATGGATAACTAAATGGCTCTACGCTGGATTAGCTTGTCTTCGTCTTCCTCTCGATCCTGAAGTCCACAGTTGTCTCCGAGTGATTGCTAAGTCATGCATTCAAGTAACTGACTATTTAAAGACTTTTCCCGATACTTCTAATGACTCATTTCTTCCTTGGAATCTCATAACTGTTGTAATTACTTTAAATTTCAAACAATTTGATTTGTTGAGTTTGTAAATTCATGAAAAATTTATTTTCAATTATAATAAAAGATAATTTGATTGACATTTAAAAGATTTAACGACGATCAGTTTTTCCAGTTCCACGTTTACCAGCAAACAAATGTTTAGGCATCAAATCACCAATGAAACGATCAGCTTCGCCCTTCAAACACATCTTCTTCAATTTCTTGGCAATGTCATGTTTCGCCAAAACTTGAGCTTTCTTCTTCATCTATAAATAAAAAATAAATTTAGTTAATTCAATATAACATTTAAGAGAAAATAAACTTACAACAACATTGGACAAGCCGAGTTCATGTTTTGGAGCCTTTCGTTTGAGTGGTTGGCCAGTTGATCTCACAATCGCCATCGATTCTTTGTCTTTCTTCTTCTCAACTTTACCACCAACTGCTGGCACGATACTTCTTCGTGTATTAATTTTGTTTTTATTGAAATTAGCCTTCTCAGCTCCACTCATATCAACTCCCAAGTCTTCCATAGTTGACTTCAAATTCTCAACCTTCCGTCCACGAGTATGTGGATTTTTATGTCTTGGAATCTTCGGCTTATCAGCTCTCGGTGCAAGTCGTTTATTATCACGCAAAATGAATCGTTTTGAGCGAATTTGTCGTGCCATATCACGAATTTCTTGAAGTGTCTCGTCGATGTTAAGCTTTGGAGGCTCATAAAATCCATTTTCCAATCGCAATCCTTCATCTCGTTCAAGTTCTTCCAGCTTTTCAAAGATATCAGGATCGATGTAATCAGCAATGTTGTGTCCTTCGAGGAACTCAGGTATGACATCGTGTCGTTCTTCTTCAGGAATGGTGACATAATGTTTCTTCAAATCTAAAATGTAATCATCGCCCATCTCTTCTTCAATATCTTTCTCAAGTTTGTGTTTCTCTTTAATCGCTTCATTGATTTCCTTCTTCATCAAAACATTCTCAGGAATGAATGGTGGACGTTCTTTGTTATCGCGTTTTTCTGGCATTGCAACGTGAAGACGATTAAGAATGTTGTCAACTTTCTTTGTTCTCATCTTCTGATCAACACGGAAACCTAACAAACGCTCACATGCTTCAGTTTTAACTTCCATGACACCTTCTTCACTTACAGTGCTCATTTGTAAGACTGGAACATCAGGATCGTTCAAGATTTTTGATAAAATTGTCTTACGACTTTCATCAAGATCATTCAACTTGATAATGTCGACTTTGTTGAGGACAATCATTAGCGGTTTATTAGCGAAAAGTGGCTTAATTGATTCATAAAGATTTATCTGTTCTTCTAGAGTTTGTCCACATTGTTCCGAGATGTCCATCACATAAAGAACGCAAGCACGTAAATGAGCGAGAGCTGTAATTGCTTGCATTTCGATAACATTTCTGTCCTCAAGTGGATGATCAAGAATTCCTGGTGTATCAATGACTTGCCAACGAAGATATTTGTAATCAGTGTGACCGACAAACAAACTTTTTGTTGTGAAAGCATAAGGTTGCACTTCAACATCAGCTCGAGTAATTTTGTTGATGAAACTTGATTTACCGACATTCGGGAATCCAGTGATGAGAAGTGTGCGAGTGTAAGGATCAATTGAAGGCAGACGTGAAAGATGTTGACGTACTTGTTCTAAATAAGTAAGATTTGATGCTTGACGTTTAACGATTGTTGCCATTCGACCAAGAGCCGCTTTTTTCAATTGCTTACATCGGTAAAGGGAATCTCCGTACTTAAGTAATCTGACATACTCCTTTGCAACATTATCAATTAAATGTCGAGCCATGTTAAGTTGACCAAGAGCAAGCTTGTAATGGTCTTTATCATACAGAACATTCATCAAATCAGCATAGAATGGATGAACATCGTCGAGTTTAGGAAAATCTTGGATAATTTGCGATAATCTGTCGTGGAAGTTTTGTTGTGTATATTTCACTTTTCTCATATAGAATGCACGAATTCTTGAGATTTTATAATGCTTGTGAACGACTGTTGGTGTCTTTCTTTGAGTCTTCGACAGCATTATGTCAATAAATGCCTGAAAAATATTTTAAACAAAGAGCATAAATAAATTTCCATTTTTCTTCATTTTTATAATGTTTTTTCTCTTACCTTTGCTGGTGGCACCACCATGATCTTCTTAAAGTTGTACAAACTCATTTTTGGGTTGTTTTGCCGACGATTTTAGGGCAAAATTTAATAAAATTTAATTGTAAAGTCACACGTGTTTCGACTTTACTGTGGAAAAGAAAGTGCTGTAACAGCAGTTTATGAATGTTCAATGTGTGAGTGAAAAATTATTCTAGCAGAGGCCCGTGGCTTTGCGCTAAATTCTAGCAGTTTTTAATTCATAAAAGAAGAATAATTGGAAGAAAATATGAATAAGATTGTCTTTTTATTTATATTATAGAAAAAGTTACGGATAGATAATGAGATGACATTCTTTTGTTTTCATAAAAATTGACCGGCCAAATTGATTTGACTTGAGGGGTATGCAAGACGTTTTTGAAAACTACAAGAAATTCTTACTTCTCAAATTATAGCACATCAGCATTTCTTGTATAATTCAGACAAAAAGACATCGCTCCGCATTATTAAGTAAATACTCGTGTTAATAAGTCGTATTAAAATATAAAAAGTGTTTCAAAGTGAAGCAAATGTAGCAAGTAAAATGTTTAACTGCAGCATAGAGACAAAAATTACGAATTTTAGTGAAAATTAAAATTTATTTATTTTTGTGAAGCAACATATTTTTACTCATCTGATCATAAATAAGAATATAATTTGACAAAACAAAAATAAAAACAATGAAATATGGAGAGGAAAAATGTAACTTTCACATAAAAATGAGCTTAAAGTTAGTAATAATTGTTGTAATATGTTGCGTAGTTACAAGTGAAGGAGCACATAAATATACGAGTCTCGATAAGCTCACAAAGAATTTAGGTAAGAAACGAAAGCCAATAAAGAACGAATGAAACAACCGGATCTATTCTTATTCTTAATTGGAGAAACACAATGTGTCCATAAATTGAAGCATATAAAGCAGTTTTCATTCACTAATATAACTCATGCTAATGACCGCTAAATTGCTGACAAGTGGTCATTTAGCGAACAAGAAAATTGTATCAAAGTCAATGGTTTATATTCTATACTAAAGGTCAAGTTCGCATTTGTAGATTTTCTTATATACTTTTCGATTAAATTGAAAGTATAAATAACATCGGCAAGTATTTTGATAAGACATCTCACGGGTTATGCTTTTTATTTTAATTCTCTGAGAATTCTGTAAATACGTGAATTTTACATGCTAAATAAATATTTTGAAGACATTGCAGGAAACGAGACAGGAAGTAATCTCAATAAGAATTTGTCAAGTCTTAACTTCATTTCCATTTTTTCCCGTTAAATATTAAAAAGAATTTCCCCCGCACATCTTCAAGGAAACAGCAGAATCAGAAGAAGAAGTAAAAGCTGATCTGGTTTATTTACTTTTTAAGTGAATATTAATTTATTTTTAGACACTCGTAATAAATAGATTACTCAAGTAGCGATACTTAATACAACATACGTACAATTTCTTCATTTCTTTCATACAACAAACGAGCTTGAATCAAACACAAAACTCTTCCCATTAAAAAATTGTTTGTGTTATGAAAGTATTAAGTTTGTTTTCGTTTTTTGTACGCTTCATTGGCGTAAAGAAGGCGAGACTGAGAAAAGAACAAATCGTGACGACTAATGTATTTTAATTTATGTGAGTCGATCATTAAATGAATTAGATTAGTTTTTTTTATCGCGGTCATTTGTTAATTGAAATTTAAAGTGTTCAAGTGATGATTAATAATTGTTATCAATGTTTAATTCTATTGAAATCACTGACCTATCTCCGTCATTTCGTTTTAAAAATGATTGGCTTTATTAGTCAATACTTACAACTATTTGTTTAAAATTTTGAGAAGCTTTATCAATTCATTTAACGATGTCGAATGACAACAACAAAAACGTATTCAATTATGATTGACACACTCTTCTCACAAACATGGTTGATGATTGAATTAAATTCGTCTTGATGAAAGTGAATTGAGATATGTGTTAAAATTCTGTTTTTCTTTCTTTCTCTCTTATTTTTTATTCGTTCATTCATCTTTTTCTTCTCTGTTTGTATTCCTATCAATATGACGTCTATTAGCATATTTATGAATACGATGTCGACATCTCAAATGGACAGTAGCATTTGTACATGAATCGTCTGAATTGATTCATTACGAATTGATTCTTGATTATTTTTTTTAAGATATTTCACTAACGTTTTGTGTGTGTCGACATAACTTGGCAGCTCAAATTTAATCTCACATTTTGTTCATCAGCTTGTCAGTTTAATCTGTTCTTTTGAACCTTCAATTAGTTAATAAGACTTTAATTTGTTTAAATCACATTGAAAGAACTTCTTGGCCTGAAAAAGTTGAACACAGAAATCTTTGTCTTATGATAAATGTTGATTTATCCAGTTCAGAAAGTAAATTTTATTGTTTTCATTCTCATATTTTTTTATTACGACAAATTACAATGTGCAGCCAAAAGATAAAACCAAACAAAGCTTCTAAAGTTTCTCTCTTTTTTTTTGCTTATGCTTTTCATTAATCATTGTTAATGTAACATGTCTTATTGTTGTTTTTTCATTCAAATTTATTCTTTCAGAAACATCATCTTTATCATTATCATATGCATCCAATTGCAGTGAATTTGAATTTCAATGTAAATCTGATGGTTTATGCATTCCTTTATTATGGAAATGTGATTTGACTCCAGATTGTTCTGACGGCAGCGATGAGAATTCTAATGAATGCGATCAAAGTTCCATTGTACAAAATCAATGTGATAATGACAATTTCTTTCATTGCAAATATTCTCGAAAATGTATACCGAAGCAATGGCTCTGTGATCAAGTTTTCGATTGTGGATTGATCGGAAAATTCAATTTACTTGATACGACTGACGAGGACAGCAGTCAAAACTGCACAAAAAGTTGTCCAGTTAATAAACTTTCCTGTTCTAATGGAAAATGTTTACACATATCGAAATTTTGTGATGGGAACATCGATTGTCCCAATGATGAATTCTCATGTTCAGCTAAAACAGCATGCGAGAACTTAAACTGTGACTACAAATGTAAAGTAACACCACATGGTCCACATTGTTATTGTCCACCTGGGCAAGATATCGTCAATTCTACAAAGTGTACACCACAAATAACATGCAATTATGATTCGGTGGAAGAATTCGACGCTTGTGATCAACATTGTGCCATCATTAAAGGTCAAAACAAATGTTCATGTGCACCTGGCTATGAGAGAGTAAACAATCGTTGTTTTGGAATAAATTGTAAGTTAACTTTAAATATTATTATTTTGAAGCTTTCAAGAGGTGGAAAATTAGAAAATTATAACAGTTTAGATTTTATAACAGAAATAATATTTTTGTAATTGATGCAATTTCTAACATTAAAACATCATTCCTAACTAATATCTAAATAAAAACTTCAAATTTTACAGCACCAGTGTCCGATCCAACACTTCTCTTCGTTTTAAGTTCCAAGAAAATCTATAAAATTATTCTTCCATCTGAACGCAATAGCTCATCATCTGATATGTCAGCACCAGTCACTCTCACTCAAGTATTGAAACTCAATGCGCCGATAAGCATGGAAATCAATTTTCTCAATCACAGCGTGTGTGTTTTGGAAAGTTTCGAAATTTATTGCTACAATGCATCAGATTTTCTTCAGAAATGGAAATTACCAAGTCCCGATTTCTTGCCAGCTTTTGAGACAACGCCTAGCATAATGGTCTCTCAATTTACACTCGATTGGATGTCAAGAAATTGGTACTTCATGGACATGTTGAATAACTTTGTCTTCATATGTAATCATGAGATGAAGCATTGTCGGATTATTATCAAAAGTTCAAAGAACGAAACAGTTAAGCTTCGAACTTTTGCAATTGATCCAAATTCTGGATTTCTTTTTCTCACGAAATTTGATCCGAAGAGTCGATTTGGAGCAGCAATCATGAGATATTCGATGGATGGTGAGAATGGCTTGAATTTACTTCAAAACAAACTTTTTTATCCAAACGATCTGACATTGGATGTCGCAATGAAAAGAATTTACTTTCTTGATCATTATTTCGACTTTATTCAACAATGTGATTACGATGGAAGAAATCGACAGTTCCTACAAAAACTTCCACTCATGAAATTTCATCGAATCACTTTCTTTGAGAACACATTTTATGGCGCAGTTAACAAGAATCTCTCAGTCATTCAAGTCAGTAAATCATCAGTGATGTTCAAAAAAGTTCTCGCCGAGAATCTCGAAGCAAATCCAAAAATTGTTAAAATCTTCCACCAACAAACACAACCAACAACAAGTGAAGTAAAAGTTTGTGAAAGAAATAAAAATAAATGTGAGCATCTTTGTGTGCCTACGCTCGATTCAAGTGACTCAAGAATTATAGAAAAATGTTTGTGTCGAGAAGGTTTTAAGCTTGAAAATGGGAAGTGCAAGTTAATGGAAGCAAAAAGATTCTTGATGTATGTTGAAGAATATCCGAAGATATTGAAAGGTGTTGACATTGAAGATACAAATCGACAAGTTTTCTCACCGATCATTGGATTGAAATCAAGCATCGCTTTTGATGTTGATTTAGTCAACAAGATTATTTTCTTTACAAGCTATTCCGAGATGAACGACACTGACAACAAACTCATCGAATTTCAATCATTTAATGGCTCGAATCGTGGCGTAATCGAAGGAGATTTCGGCGCTATTCAGTCGTTGTCGTACGACTGGGTTGGGAAGAATTTATATTTTGCAGGGCAATTACCGAAAGCGAAAATTGCTGCTGTGAAAATTAAATTTGATTCGACTGAATCATCATCATCTTCAATTATTAAAACACTCGTCAATAAGAACATTATCGGACCTTGTTCACTCGCTTTAGATCCCGAAAATGGTAAGTTTTTATCATCCACAAACTAAATTATAAACTCAAATTGATTTTGATTCGCACAATTTAATTTATTGTCTATTTTGATCTGAAAATTGATAAACAAAAATTTCTTTCAATTAGGTTTAATGTTTTGGAGTTCATTTGCCGATAGTTACAATGTCGGTGGTAAAATAGAAATGTCTTGGATGGATGGAACATCGAGAGAGATTTTAGCGGGTAAAGATGTGAATGGAACAGGCAATGGATGGATTTATTGGCCAGTTTCATTGACATATTATAAAGAGAAGAATCAACTTTATTGGCTTGACGTTCTGAAACAAACAATCGACAGCATCACTCTCGATAAGAAACGAACACGTGAACATCGAAAAGTTGGAGCATCTTATTCGCAATCAATCGCAATAATCAGCGGAAAAATCTTTTGGACTGACAACTTAAAGGACACAATTGAAATGGCAAATATTGACAGCAGCGATTTCAAGCGAGACTTGAAAGTTTTCAATCATGCTTCGGGCAAGAAAACATTTTTAAAGAAAGCGGACATTGATGAATATTTCGACCATGTTGAGAGTGAACATCAAATGAAATGTCCTGGCTTATGGTTAGCAACACCAACGAAGGCAGGTGTGTGCATGTGCGGTGATGGATCAAGCATGAATGCAATTGGAACGTCTTGCATTAAAACACCCGCGCCAAGTTTAAATGCTGCTAAAACTCCAATTGCTTGTTCAGAATTCTTATGTAAATCTGGTGATGAATGCGTCGCTCATCGTTATGTTTGCGATAACACTGAAGACTGTACTGATGGATCTGATGAAGAAGAATCACCGAACGGCCCTTGTCCAGTACGATGCGCATTTAAATGTGATGGTTCGCAATGTCTTGAGAAACATCAAGTTTGTGATGGAAAATATGACTGCGTTGACGAGACTGACGAATCTGTAGAAGAATGTCCCGATCCTGATGATTATTCCAGCATCTCAGATGATTATTGTGATGAATTTCTTTGTGACAATGGAAATTGCATTTTATCTGAACAACGATGTGACTCTGTTGACAATTGTGGCGATAATTCTGACGAAGAAGAATGTCCAATCGTCGTCAATCAAACATCAACAATGAAAACTTTCATTCCACCAGATTCTGATGAACAAGACGATCCCGATCCGGAATATGACGATTCTTATGATAGATTCGAAACAAACATTGAAGATTGCAAAGCTCCGGATTATTATTGTGCGAAAGATAAGAAATGCATTGCAGTTCATCATCTTTGCGATGGCATCAATCAATGTTCTGATAAATCTGATGAACTTGGAAGATGCGGCGAGAGATTGTGCGATCACATCGTTGAATGTCAATTCTTTTGTCACAATGCACCAAATCCAAATGGTTTCGTTTGTTCATGTCCACAACACATGACACTTGATGATGACGGCCGAACGTGTTCAAAAGCAAAGATTTGCGATGAATTCTCGACATGTTCTCATACTTGTGAAGTGCTGAATCCAACAAAGATTAAGTGTCGTTGTCATCATGGATATCAACTGAAGGAAGACAATTTCACTTGTGTGAGTTTACATGATGAAGAGCCGGTGCTTTTATTCAGTAATCGAGATGTTCTTCGTGGAATTAAACTCAATAAAAAGCATTCAGAAGTCAAAGGTTATTATTCAATGGCGAAGAATTTAATCGGTTTAGATTTCTATTATGATCGACATAGTAAAGAATATACAATCATATGGTCAGACATAACTAAAGATAAAATATTTTCTGGAAGATTTCACAACGACGAATTAACGAATGTAAAAGCGATTGTTGAGTCGGATTTATCAACGACTGAAGCTGTTGCAATTGATTGGATTGGAAAGAATCTTTATTGGATTGATGCGAGCTTAAAGCAGATTGAAGTGTCGACTAAAGACGGCTTACATCGCACGACATTGATTTCAGATGATATTTCCAAGCCACGATCAATGTCGATTGACAGTCGACTTGGTTTCTTATTTTGGTCTGATTGGGAAGAAGACGAACCGAGAATTGAACGCTCGACATTAGCTGGTGAAGATAGAAAAGCAATTTTTAATCTGAAGAAGATTGGAGGTGCATGGCCGAATGGAATCACTTTGGATTACATCAAGAAACGCGTTTTCTTCTTAGATGCGAAGTCGAAGGAAATTCATACGATTGATTATAATGGCGAGAATCATATTCGTGTTCTTAGGAATCCCCATTACCTATCACATCCATTTGCTATGACAATCTACGAGAATGATGTTTTCTGGACTGATTGGCGACTTGGAAGTGTCATCAAAGCTGATAAGTTTACAGGTATATGAATGACTTTTATTCAGGGATTGGAACTGGTTGAAATTTTGAACCGGTTCCGATCCCTGGTTTAATTAGAAACTTCAAAACTGACATTAACATTCACAGGTTCAAATGTCACAATCTTCTATCATGCATCGACACAACCATTTGATGTGAAAGTTTTGCACCCAAGTCGACAGCCATGGGATTATAATGGCGAAGGTGAAGGTAAGACAATCATTTCACCATGTGAGAACTCAACATGCTCGCATTTATGTTTGCTGAGTACAAATTACACATTTAAATGCGCTTGTCCACATATGATGAGATTGAATGATGTCAACAAGACGATTTGCGAGAAAGTCGATGAAATTCTTTTCTACATAACTGACAAGCCTGAAATTCGTGCGATCGAACTTAAATATCCTTACTCGAATGCCATTTCAACGATTTATCATGCGACACAAATCATGTCACCAAATCACATCGCAATTCATCCACGCGACAACAGAATCTTCTGGACTGATTCATCGTTAAAAGAGATCAAGAATGTGAAATTATCGACAGCAATTTTGCCATCAAGTCAAAGAATTGAAGCAATTATGGATAATAAAATTGAGAAGATCAGTGGATTCTCCATTGATTGGATGTCTGAATTAATGTTTTTCTCACAGAAAATTCCATCAGATGAATACGACGACGAATCGGAGTTAAATCGTAATGGAAAATATCAACTTTTTGTAACAAACATGAATGGCGAATTTCTGTCAATTATTTTTGATAATATTAACAACATTCAAAGTTTAATTGTGTCGTCGGAAAAGCGGAAGATTTATTATGTCATCGTACAGTATATTAATGGAGGCGAACGTTATGCAATTAATGAATGCAACATGGATGGAACTGAAGACACAAACTTAATTTACGAAGACGAAATTGTTGAGTCGTTAATACTCGACACAAAATCAAATCGATTATATTTCATTAAAAACAATCGTAAAATATTCTTTTTCGATTTAAAAACAAAAGAAACGAGACTTGTAAATACATTTTATGGTGGAAAAATATCAAATGATGATCAATTTTTAGATCTTTTAATAACATCTCTGGAGGTTTATCATGATGCAATTTATTTCGGTGAGAATACGACAAATACAATCAGAACATGCGATAAAGTTAATTGCAGTGTTCCAATAATTTATCGTAAGAATACAGCGAATGTCAGACAATTGAAGATTATATCATTAGCAGCTGACATTGCAGCATCAGATGCAACAGACATTAATGGATGTTACTTACATTTGCAAGGAAAGGAGAAGAAATGCGATCATCTTTGCATTCCCAGAGGAAAGTCAAGTTTTGTTTGCAAATGTTCAATTGGATTTGTAATCGATCCGAAAGATCCAAGTAAATGCATTGGAACGGATGACTTTATAATTTATTCACTTGGTCATGAATTGAATGGCGTTGATTTCAAATCAAATAAATCTTCAATGAATCTCATTACGCCACTTCAAAGAATCAACTTAATCAGTTCATTTGATGTTGATGTTCATCGAGATTTCATTTACATCGCTGATAATGAACGTGGTGAGATTTTGAGAATTAAACGGGATGGAAGTGAACGACAAACTGTTCTTGCTGCGACTGAAATTGATGATCAGAATAGCAACGATTGGCTTGGTGGCCTTGCTATTGATTGGATTGCACAGAATATTTATTGGACTGATCAGAAACGTGGACTTATCGAAGTGTCACGTCACGATGGATCGTTTCGTCGTGTCATCTCATCGGAACTGTTCAAACCATCGCTGATTGCTGTTGATCCACTGCTAGGCATTTTATTCTTCATTGATGGTGAAAATAAAATCATTCGACAAGATTTGGATGGATCATCGACGTTTTATGTCACTAAAAACAGCGGAAGTACAATAAATGATTTTGCACTTGACATTTTTAACCAAGCAATTTATGTTTGTGAAATGAAATCGAATAAGATTTGGACGATTGAATATGATGGAAATGGACGAAAAGATTTAATGATTGGAAATGTTTCAAATCCAACGTCAATTGATGTGTTTGATGGACGTCTTTATTGGACGGAGCGTGGCGTTGGAAGTGTCAGAACAAACATTAAAAGTATAAATCTTCAATCATTAAATGAAACAGCGACGACAATTAAAACTTCGCTTCATCAACTTCGTGGTGTGAAAGTTTTTTCGAGAAAGAAGCAACATGGATCGAATCTTTGTGCAATGCCAAACTATAATGGATGCGATGAACTTTGCTTGTTCAACGGCGTTAAAGGAAATTGTTTCTGTTCACATGGATATCTTGATCAAAAGAATCTTAAAAGTTGTCGAAATTATGACAATTTCTTGTTCTTCTCACATGAAAATGTTATCGAGAAGATTCGCGTCAATGCTGAAAATGGTTCGTTAATTAACTTCAAAATACAAAATCAACAACATCTTCAAAATGCTGTCGCTTTAACTTATGATTATAACAATAAATGGATTTTTTACTCTGATTTACGGCTCAATGCGATCTTTCGATGTTCATTCGATGGAGAAAACTTTACAAAACTCATCGACAAGCAGCATTCAGTTGAAGGAATTGTTTTCAATCCACAGAACAATAAATTGTTTTGGACGCTTAATGGCGATGCTGAAATTCGAGGAATTGATTTGGGATTGTGGAAGAATGGAAGTTACTTGAAAGACGACATTGAAAAGTCGGTGGAGACGATTCTAAAGATGAAGCGAGGTGTTGATAAGTTGAGGGCAATTGTTGTTGAACCTTGTTTGGCGATGCTTTATTTCAGTAATTGGAATTCAAAGGCACCGGGAATTTCGAGAATTTTTATAACAGGTAAGCGATGTCAATTTTAATTAAATAATTAATCGACAACTCACTCTAATCACAGGTTTCGGACGTGAAGATTTAATAACGAAAGACATTTTCATACCCAACGCTCTTACACTCGATTTAAATGACAAGAAAGTGATTTGGGCTGATGCGAGACTTGATAGAATCGAACGGTGTAATTACGATGGGAAGAGTCGCGTGATTCTTGCACAATCAACGCCGAAGCATCCGTTTTCGATTGCTGTGCTTGAGGATTTCATTTTTTGGACTGATTGGTCGCTTCATGGTTTAATTAGAGCAAATAAATATTCAGGAAATGACGTGACGTTCTTAAAACGTGACATTGAACAACCGAGAGGACTTTTCATCGCTCAAGAATCGATCAAAAATTGTACAAACAATGCTTGTGCAGCTTTTAATGGTGGATGTGAAGATATTTGTTTGCCTCATGGTGAAAACTCATTCAAATGTGAATGTTCGCAAGGATATTTAGCGAAAGATGGAAAACGTTGCTTAAGTCGAAATAAATCGTCGAATTGTGATGCAACAATGGAATTTGAATGTCGATCAGGTGAATGCGTTCCTTATGTTGTAACATGCGATGGAATACCACATTGCGTTGATTATTCTGATGAATCGATAAGCTTTTGTTCAACTAGGAAATGTCCTGATGATGTTTTCTTTCAATGTCGCAACTTCCGTTGCATCTTTAAGAATGAAACTTGCAATGGCTTTCCGAACTGTGAAGATGGTTCAGATGAGGAGTCGTGTGTGTGTAAAGACAACGAATTTAGATGCACGAGTGGTGAATGTATCTCAAAGAGTCATCGTTGTGATCATGATCCCGACTGCAAAGACGCTTCTGATGAGATGAAGTGCGATGTACGAGATTGTGGCCACGTTCTTGCTGAACTTGGTGAACTGAAAACGCCGGTAAATGGAAGAAGTTTAATTCCATGTCCTTACACAACAGCTTGTTACATGAAGGATTGGGAATGTGATGGCGAAAATGATTGTTGGGATTGGAGTGATGAAAAGAATTGCGAGGAAAAAATGATAAATCGAAATGCGACTTGCCCGACTGACAAATTTCGTTGTGCCAATGGTAAATGCATCCCAATGCAATTCATTTGCGATCATGAAGACGATTGTGGTGACACTGATGTACTAGCAAAATCATCAACTTCATCTGACGACGTTCCAACATTAAGTTCTGATGAAAGAAATTGCCAAAATCATTGCACAACTGAACAATTTACTTGCAAAAATTCGACACTTTGCATTCCATTGGTTTGGGTTTGTGATAAAGTCTTTGATTGTCCTGATAAATCTGATGAATTGGAATGCGATGATGAAATAGTTGGTGAGTAATTTTTATTTCTTTAAATGTATTTCGTTCCCATCTTTCAACTCTTTCTTCCACCCTCTTCTTGTTTTTTCACCCGACCCCCACGATTTCAATAACAAAACAAATACCAAATTCATTACATAATCTCTTACGTTAATCAACAGAATCATCCAATTCATCTCAACCAACATGCTCACCGTACCAATCAACTTGTCTTAATGGTGAATGCATTCCAAAAGAAGAACTTTGTGATGGAAAATTCGATTGTTCTGATTTATCGGATGAAACTGAAGTTTGCATGTTTCCATCGAATAAAGAAACTGATGGTCGGCCATGCAATCAAACGGAATTCACATGTGGCAATAAAGAATGTATCAGTTATCAATTTGTTTGTGATATGAAACAAGATTGCAGTGACAACACTGATGAGAATGAAACGATTTGTGAAAACTTCCCAAAATATTGTCGACAAAATGCGAAGAAATTTCTTTGCGCGAGTGGAAGTTGCATCAATGAAACTTTGGTTTGCAATGGTTTAGATGATTGCGGCGATTTCTCAGATGAAGAAATGTGTAACATCAATGAATGTGACTATGCTGATTGCGAACATGGATGTCGTGATTTGAAGATCGGATACGAATGTATTTGCAACGAAGGATTTGAACGAAACATAAACAACACACATGAATGTAATGACATTAACGAATGTGAAGATCGTCCATGTTCACAAATGTGTCTTAACACTTACGGATCTTATCATTGTGAATGTCTCGAAGGCTACATCAAGTCAGGAAACAAATGCAAAGTCAATTCACCGGAAGTTCCAAAACTTATCTTCACAAATTACTTTTATATTCGAAGTGTTAACTTAGACGGCCATTCAGAACTTCTTCTTCATAATCTCAGTAATTCCGTTGGAATTGATTTCGATTGGAGTAAGAATTACATTTATTTCTCGGACGTAAGTTCTGATAAAAGTTACATATCGAGAGTAAAGTTAACTGGATCGAATTCAACAAACATCCCGGAAGTTCTTCATCAACAGAATCTGAAAAATCCTGACGGTTTGGCTTTTGATTGGGTTGGAAAGAATCTTTATTGGTGCGACAGAGGCCGACGAACAATTGAAGTTTCTCGTGATAATGGACGATACAGAAAAGTCTTAATCAATGATAAACTTGAGAAGCCTCGAGCAATTGTTCTTGATCCTTATCGAAAATATTTGTATTGGACAGATTGGGGAAACTTACCACACATCGGACGTGCTGGAATGGATGGAAGTGACTCGAAATTCATTATAACTGAAAATTTAGGCTGGCCAAATGCTTTAACAATTTCATTCGAGACAAATGAATTGTTCTATGGCGATGCAAGAGAAGATTTCATTGCTGTTTGTGATCTTGATGGTGGTAATCGGAAAATTGTTACACATCGAAAATTTAATCCGTCACTTCATTTAAATCACATTTATTCGATTGCTGTGTGGGAAGACAAAATTTACTTCACTGATTGGGAATCAAAAAGCATCGAATATTGTGATAAATATACAGGAAGTAATTGTGGAACTTTAATTAAACTTGTTCATCGTTCAATGGATTTGAAAATTTATCATCCAGTCAGACAACGAAGACTTAAAACGAGTTCATCAATGGAACAATTACTGAAGAAGAAACAAAAAGATTCTTTGGGAAAAAAGAAGTTTGAAAGTGTCGCGACTGTCAAGGAGAATCCTTGCATTAATGCAAACTGTTCCGGACTTTGTTTGTTGTCACCAAAAGCTCCTTTCTATCAATGTGACTGTCCTGATAACTTTTATCTGGGAAAGGATTCAAAATCTTGTATTGCGAATTGTACAGCAGCACAACATCTGTGTAAGAAATCAATGAAGTGCATTCCGTTCTTTTGGAAGTGCGATGGACAAGCCGATTGCGAATTTAATGAAGATGAACCTGAGAAATGTCCATCTTTCTCATGCAACCCTGGAGAATATCAATGTGATGTTAATGACAAGACAATCAATGCAACATGCCTCAAGCCGACTTATCTCTGTGATGGAATAAAGCAATGTAAAGATGGAAGTGACGAAAATAACTGCGATATATTTGGATGCTTCTCTGACTCACAATTTCAATGTAAGAAAACAGCAAACACGTCAGCTTATTGCATTCCTGATAAGAAAAGATGTGACAATAAAAATGATTGTCCATCGGGATATGATGAAGAGAATTGTCCACGAAGAACATGTTCAGCAACTGAATTCCAATGTGAATCGAACGATGTTTGCGTACCGAGAGTTTGGCAATGCGATGGTGATGCTGACTGTGTTGATGGTTCTGATGAGAAGAATTGCAAAAATCGTGATTGCTTTGTTAACGAATTTAAATGTCCAAATGGTCGTTGCATTCCATTTAATTGGCTTTGCGATGAAGAAGCTGACTGTCCTGATGGAAGTGACGAAGGAAAAAAAGCTTCATGTGACAAACAACAACCAAATAATTCCTGCGAACCATCATACTTTAGGTAATTTAATTGATTTTTTTGTTTCATTTCATTTATTTTAAATTGTTGTCATTAAAGATGCAACTCTACAAGAAAATGTATTCCTGGAAGATGGAGATGTGACAACGTTGCTGATTGTGATGATTTTTCTGACGAGGATAATTGTCCACCACGAAATTGTTCGGAATCAGAATATAAATGTGATGACGGGCGTTGCATTAAAGGATCATTAAGGTAAATTAAATTAAATTTCTATTTTGAGTAGCGCTACTCAACTTATTAAGGGGTGAAAAGCTTTTAATCGCCCACTTTTTACATAACTTCAAATCTTAACTGTTTTCTAGATGTGATGGCGAATATGATTGTTATGATCACAGTGATGAGGCTCATTGTAATGTCACATGCAATGATTCAATGTTTAAATGTGCAAATCAAATGCAATGTGTTAACAAGAACTTCGTTTGCGATGGCGAACCTGATTGTGCTGATTATTCGGATGAGAAGAATTGCGGATGTTCAAAGAATGATTTTAAATGTCGTGGAACTTATGAGAAATGTATTCTAAATGATTGGATTTGCGATGGAATTATCGATTGCCCTGATAAAAGTGATGAGCATGATTCAAGATGTTTAAGTCGAAGTTGTTCAGGAAATGCCGTAAAATGTACAAACGGAAAATGCATTCCAAAATATTTCTTATGTGATGGAATCAACAATTGCGGTGATAATTCTGATGAAATGAAATGTATAACGAAGAAGAATGATCATTCAGATCCAAAGACAGGTTGTAAGTTTGGAAGTTGCAGTCAGTTATGTCTTGAGAAAGGATCGAAAGGTTCATTCAATTGCAAATGTGCGACGGGTTATCATAAACTTGGCTCTGTGAAGAATGCGACATGTCGTGCAGTTGTAGGACAACATTTAATATTCACAGCTTCAGAATCAGAATTGAGATTCATTTACGGATTGAATTATGGAATAGCAGATCATCGAGGAAAACGTGGAATGACTGTGATGCCTGTTCACAGCTTCATCACAACAAATTCATCAAAAATCACTTCATTTGACTTCGTCAGCAACGATGATCATGACATTATTCTCTTCTGGTTAGATTCACTTCCATCAAATAATCTTCAACGAATTAGAATGGCAACAAAAACTGATTTCGATGAGATTCGTGCGAGTGGATTTGATGGACGAAACTCAACAATTCTTACAGTTGATAAGCAGAAAAATTCAGTCATTAAAGCAATGAGTGTTGATTGGATAACATCAAAGATTTACATAATTGAGAATGACATGATTAAGACAGTTGATTTCGATGGCAACAACAAGCGAACAATTATTGATGGTGGACCAAATTCATGGGATTTAGTCGTCGATCCAGAAAGTAGAAAATTCTTTTGGACGACAATGAATCGCGTCATATTCGTAGCAAGTATGGATGGTGCACAGAAGAAAGAATTTGTTACAGAAAACATTGAATTTGCTTCAAGTTTAAGTATTGATTATCCGTCGAGAAGACTTTATTGGTGTGACTTGAGAAAGTCAACGATTGAGACCGTCACGTTGATGGGTGGTGATCGTCAGATTGTGAGAAAGTTCGGTGAAATCGATCCAAACAGTCAACTCCCTGTCAGTCCAATGAAACTCGACATCTTTGAAGACGAACTTTATGTCATCATGACAAATCAAACAATTTACAAACTCAACAAATTCGGCTGGAAAAAAGATTACGAAGAGCTGAATAATCTTTACAAATTTAAAGCGTCACATATAAAGATTGTTCATACATTCAAGAGAAATCAATCACTTCCGAATCCTTGTTTATCTCATCCATGCGACGACACCGCAATTTGTTTCCTGTCGTCGAGTGATCCACTTGGACGTTCATGTAATTGCGCTAACAATCTTTACATTCAGAAAAATATTTCTTATGTGACTTGCAAACATCGATCAGAAATTCCTTCGCTTTGCTACAAAAACTGCGTTAATGGTGGGAAGTGCAAGTATGCAGACGATGAAATGGCTTGCGAATGTCCATCAAAGTATGAAGGAGAATTTTGTCAGCACTTCATTTGTTCTGAATATTGCAAGAATCAAGGTGTTTGCATTCTCCCTTCAAATGCCAAATCAATGACAACGACAGAATTGAAATCAAAACGACGATGTCATTGTTCACCTGAATGGAAAGGTGTGAGATGTGAAATTCCATCGACGGCTTGTGTGGTAAGTTGAAGAATCATTAAAAAGAGAATTCCAAGTAAATTCTTTTCTATTTTTTCTCTTTAAAACAGAACAAATGTCTCAACGGTGGAACTTGTCATTACCAAGTGCACGACAATGGAACTGTCAGCGAAAGTTGTGCATGTCGTTCGAACTTCAGTGGATCAAGTTGTGAGAATTGCGCTGCTATTCAATGTTTGAATGGTGGAACATGTCGTGAGAATTACGGATCATCGTCATCGCAAGGTTATCGCTGTTCATGTCTTGATGGATTTGAAGGAATTTATTGTGAACTTGACAAGTGCAAAGATTATTGCAGAAATGGTGGAAAATGTGAAATTCACGCAGTGACTGGTCCAAAGTGTTCGTGCCAAAATAACTTCAGTGGTGAACGATGTGAGATTGACAACACTTGTCCACATTGCAATGACAAACCAACACCAAACACAAGCAATTGTAATCTTCAATGTCAAAACAACGGATATTGTCAACGTGATAAGGATGACAATGAGATTTGTGTTTGCGTGGGTGAATGGTCAGGCGTTGCTTGTGAATTTCCACCGAAATGTCTTGACGACGAATGTGGGAAATGCAGGGAAACTTCATCAATCAATGAATGCGTGTAAGTATCGCTTTTTAAAATTCAATTAATGAAAAATGTTTTTAAATTTCCGCAAAATTCTTCAACAGATGTAAAAATAGTTTAATTCAACCTTGTCTCATCTCTGATATCTACTCCCACTCGGATCCGAGTGTCATCGCATCACAAATGAACGTAAACAATCATGAAACATTGTCAGCTGTCGTCATGTTGTTGTTTGCCTTCATTGTCATGTCAACATTGGCGATTGCTGCTGTTTTGTATGTCAGACGTTGGCAAAGGCGAACGAGATTCTTCGCTCACGCACGACTTAACGAGAATGTTGAAGAGATTACAAATCCAATTTTCGATTTCGCGGCTACTGATCGTGATGATATTCCCATGCCGGTGACAAATATCGCAAGTAACGATGACAAGGTGAGTTGATTGAGTTTTATTGAGATGTGAAGATGAAGTAAAAAATTCTCTTTTATTTCTCCTCAGGGTCACTTCTCGAACCCGCTTTATGAGTCCATGTACGCTTCATCGCATAAAGGCTTACTCGAGAAAAAATCTGATGACGATGAAGAAGAAATCAAAAGTGATTTGTTATGATTATGATGGGCGATAAATAATTCCTCAAATATTTTTAAATATTGATGTTAATCGATGTCAATTGTGGTTTAGAATGTTATATTGTTTCTAGGGGAGAGAATTTCTAAGCAGCTTTTATCTGAGTTCAAAGTTTTCTTTATAATCATTTCAAGGAGTTTGATTAGTTAAGATTAACAATTTTCCAGGTCTAAATTTTTACTGAGACTGACTCTCGAAATTTCTAAATTATTTTATTTCTAATGACTTTTTTTAGAATGGGTTGAATTGTCGAATAACCATGAAACTCTCATCATTACTCTTTGCAAAGAATTGACTTTTTATTAACCACTCAGATGGACATTTTTTATTAATATTAACTTTTGATGAAACTAAGGATTAGATAATCTCGGGATTTATTGATCGGGATTAAAATGATCAGAGTTAATCCCGATTAACTACTAATATTTAATCCACGGATTATCTCGTCTCTAATTTTAAAGAATAATTTATAAATTCCTTTTAAAATATTTTTTAATTCAAACATGAGTAGCTAATAATTAATGTAGATCATAAATAGAGTGATTAGAACTTCATATAAACGTAAAAAAAAGATTGTTGTTGAACACTGAATCAAGAACAAAAGCTAAAAAAATCAATAAACATTATTGTGATATTTTCATAAGGAAAATCCTTTTTGTATCGAATGGAAAAATAAAGTTTTAAACTGAAAAATAAAAGAAAATGCTTTTTAATTTAAATAAATAAAAGATGAATGAATATTTTTCTTTTTTTTATTGGTCATGAATTTTTGAAGACATTTTCATGTCGCATGAAAAGGATACAAATTAAAATTATTTTTCTTATCAGATTTATTTGTTGCTAAGCTCCAGAAGATCGTAATGTAATCATACAAAACGATGCTTGTGATGCAGAGCAACAGATCTAACTAAAAGAATTTCTTTTAATGACTTGTGAATCGTTTCTTTTTTCTGATTTATTAATTATCGTTACCCACCACCGTTAGTCAATCGTCACCTGAGCAGAGAGAACTAAGCTCAGCTTTCTACATTTAAATATGTTTACGTGATGAACGGAGATTATTTTAACGCCCAATCGAGAAGTAAATTCTACGATTAGGAATCTCCGCATAGCAAAAGGCGATATGATCATCAAATTCATAGAAACAAAAGATGCAACAAATCGCCTAGTGCTAAGTATTCATGTTAAAAGTTTTTAAAATTTTCTTAATTGATTATGAAAGATTTTATAATAAATTTAAGTGTCATCACTAGAATGTTTTTAAGTCGTTAAGAAAGTTTTTTTTTCAAATTGATGTTGATTTCCTTTTCATTCTTCGTCGAATTCGTTTCATAATTAAGACGAATTAAAAAAAATCATCGTTCGGTTCCACATTCTCTCATCAAATCTCATTCATACGTGCTACAAAAAGGAGTCTTCGATCCAGACACTGACTAACTTGTATGCGAATATGCTGTGTTGGTGTATGGCCCACTGTAGATTGAACTGCCCGATGTCGAGCTCTTATGTCGTCTTCGTGCCATTATACAAAGAACCGCCAGCACAACTGCTAACATTAGACACAAGCCCGTTATTGACACAGCTATGGCAAAACTTCTCTGTGACACACAAATGGCATCATCGGGCGTCTAAAAATGGAAGAAAATTTCAATTTATTTATGGCAATAGACGTGATTAAATTTAATTACTTTTTCTTTATACACAGTGTCGAAATCGTCACCGAGTACCTCTGCATTCTCATTGACATAAAGTCCTGAAAAGACTTCAATTGTTGCTGGAAGACCGTCCTCTTCCGTTTCGTCAGTGTCACGTCTAACACGTTTTGCTGAACCATCGCATGTTGGTGTCTGTTTTAGAAAATATTTTTAATAGTTTTGTACAGTTGATTATGAGGGGTGAGGGTGGAAACTTGAAAGGAAAATTCACTTAATTATTTATCACACACTAACCTTGTGGCAGTTGTCTTCTCCTAACGAACACAATCGAACATTACATTGATAGTAGACAGAAGTTGTGTATGGAAATTTATGTGCAGGAAAAGCGACAGTTGCTTTCGTTCTATCGCTGTCGTATGAAAATGGTCCGAGAATTTCTTGATCCAATGGACAGCCATCGCTATCAATCAAACGTTGTTCACCCCATCCAATTCCATCACGTACAAGACAATCAGTGATGTGTAATCCATAAGAATCTTGTTTGTCAATGCTGATCAGTAACTTTAATGGATCACCAATTTTAACATTCTCTGCAAGTTTATCGCCTGAATAAATTTTCATATGGCACGCAGGCATTGGAATTTCATTTGTTGAGTCACTAAATTAAACCATGAAATCAATCATTAGCAATTGACTATGAAATTAAATTGTTTTCAAACAAACCTATGATGTAGTGATCTCGCATGATCACGTCGGTCACTTCCCTCGGCGCTTGTTTGTGCTTGAGGTCTCTGATCGTTGTTTTTGGATGATTGGAATGTTGATGATTTGATTGCAGCTTCGCGATTCTTGTAACGACATCGAATATGATAACCTCTGCCTAAGTCGGTCACCAGCTTCAAGTGAGGCTGTAGGACAATCGTATTGAAGAACTCAATACCGCCATCATCCTAAAATGAAGTTAATTTTGATTATAATTTTTAACATGTGTGAAGAATTTCATGCATGAATTATTTGAAAATGATTTAATCATCAGCGACGATGACTTCATGGAATTATTACAACGACCTTGTTGCTTGAAGCAACCTTATTTGTTATACTCTCGATGCCAATATGTTCAATTCATGTAATTGAATAAATTGAAGAAGTTTCTTATTCCCTTTATGGCGTACTTAAGTATCTTGAATATTATTAAATCTTCTTCCCTTTCTTCAATCTTCAATTTAAATCTTCAAGTAGTGATTAATTTTATTTCATTTTTACATCGATTGAATAAAGATTAGACTCGCTGCGAGACAAATTAACATTTTCTTTTCAGAATAATTTAAGAGCTTCTGACAATTGACTCTCATCCTTTTGTTTTCGACTTAAATAAAGCTCTTTTATATTTCACGCAAGATCTTCGTCTTCATTATCGTCAGTTTCAAGTTTAACCAATAACAATAGCGACAAAAGATTCAATAAAGTGTTTAAACTCTCTGTGCCTTTAAAAGGTAAAAAAGCACAAGGTTTACCGTCATATTGAATCATGTTATTGATACAAAAGAGCATCGTAATCAACTTTTAAAAGTTTTTTACTCTTTCTCACTGAAGAAAATAAAAAAACGAACTGAAATCATTGTTTCGTCTGCTTCGTTCTTTTGAAGCTTGTCATGAAGGTAAATTATGGAATTGTTGATTCAAGTGCAAAATTTAAAGCGTGAGATTTTAAAGTTTTAAAGTAAAAAAACCTGAAACGAAATATTCTTTTTCAGAAGAATTCATGAAACAAGTTTGGTATGTAATCATCTTGGGGAAAATGATTTAAAATGTCTAATCGTTTTCTGCTTCGTCTTCTGACAGCAAAAAGAAATAATTTCAAGCCGCGACCACAAAATAGCGCGTATTATAAACATTAAAATTCGGCCTTGGCTTCATTAAATTTTTCGCTTACTTTCTTTGAAAACAAATCAATGCATTCGTCTGATGCTTGCTTTGTGCTGTTTGTCTGTCGATTTCAGCACAATCTCCAATGGGCGCAGCAAAATAAATTAAATTAAAATGGCTTTTAGCCATATTTCTTTTAACGAACGAACTTAGACGAAATAATCGGAATAATTTCACTAGATTGCCCAAACACGGAACACCTTCACTCTTTCATTCACATGCCGAGAATTCGAGTGGTGTGATCTATAAAAATGCCATTTGATCACGTTTTGAGGTGTGAATTACGCAATCGTACTGTTTCATTGTCGGATCTTTCTTTAAAATGAAGATCAACGTTCGAAGTTTTATTATTTATTTGAAGTCAAGTCACGTCAGACAAGGTAAAGTATAAGAAGCTTCGCGCGGATGGACTCAATGGCATTTATACATTTCTCGACCGTCCCGCTTCGTTTCGCGACATCAGACACTCCACCATGTTTTTAATGGTAATTTATTTAACGAAATTCTTCGAAAAATAAAAAAAGATTTTTCTCTTCATTCCTTTGCTTAAGGTATTTCAACTTTTAACATGTTTTTTGAAGTAAGAAGATTTTGCATCGCAAAAATTGCTATGCAGCTGAAGTCGAATGTTAATGATCAGAAGAAGGAAAGAAAAAATGAAAAATATCTCAAGACTCACCAACACTACTATCAGATCTCGATGGATATTTTACACTATCAAACATACTAACATTTCTTTAAATCTAACAAACTCACACTTCCACATCTTCGATGATGTCATTTCTATTTCTTGTTGCTTGCCTAAGTCGGATCTCATTCCAGACTATACTCAAAGTGTGAGTTATAAAGCAAGAAAAAAACGGAAATACAAAAACTATGTAATATTTACTTTTATATTTTAATTAACATATGCCAACGGTAAGATGAATTACGTATCTAAGTATTCTTTTTCAATCACAGAACGAGTACAGCGATTTAATAGAATAAATAAAGTAATAAATGGTCGTGTGGGGTAAATTAACTGAACCATCAAAAAAATTCCAATGAAAAGAAGATAAATTAAACTTACGAAAAAAAACATTAATAAAACAGATCATAAAAGAACTTGCTGAAAATAAATGATAAATTCATCCTAATCATATCATAAAACGTGTGAAATATTTCGCACTGAGCCGTGATTTTCATACAAAAGATTTCTATTCGGGGTCACTCGACGAACCTTTTCAAAGATGTTTCATTTATTCGAATTTTAATTCTTGGAGTCGACAAGGTAAGCAGTGAGTAAATTTATCTACTACGCAAATATAAATTCCAGCAGGAATTTGTGAATTATTCGATTGTTCAATAGTTGAATGCTTTATGAACTTAAACATGAAAGATGTTTCTGTCAGAACGATTACAAAACGCTTTTATTTGATTGAGGAAACATTATTTTAAAAACACATCAAAGATCATCAAAAAATTAAAAAAAGCAAAAATGTTATTTGACAATAATCAAATTAATTTTCAACACGAAGTCAAAGGCTTTGAAGCCCCTGAAGCCATCGACAGTTTCATCATTAAACAAAAATAATCGCATTAGTAAAGCTCTTGACAAAAGAGATGAAAATTTCAAGTGTAAAAGTTATTAAAGTCAATTACTTGTCATTTGTTCGTGGTTATCGTTGATGAAAAATCCGACCAGATGTGAGTAATAACTGGTAAGCGTGTAAAGTTTAAAAAAAACAGCACGACGACCTTCTGTATACGCCCAATGTTTACAATCAATGTAATATTTCTGTTTTTTACTTTTCTCGTCTTACAGTTTCTCGATTCTGTTCTGTTCTGTTCATCATAAGTAAGCATTCCTGCTGTTTGACGTCATAATTTCAAACGATAAACAGTCAGTTACTTAATTAGTGCAGCGAGATAAATATTACCAAAGCCACAACGATGTTTAGCTTTTCTTTTTATGGATATCTGTCTAACCCTCATAAGATGCCAATTGTTATCGTCTGTTAAGTAATCCGAGCATGACGAACTTTCTTCTTAATCCGACAACCGACACCGACACCACGATGCTTAGCAACTAACACTTTAAGTCTCAAACAAGAAAGTAATCGTTTTCGATAGTAATTGGATGGTTTTCCGGCATCGTAATAGTGCATTTATGAATTAATAAAATTCCATTGACTCTTAATTCAAAAAAAATATTCGTTTAATGAGTCAGCATTTGTAAGCTTGTCGAATTGAAAAACATGCGTTCGTTCGATATGTTATGGAAAATCAAACGATTGTAATTATAACAAATACGATGAAAAGATACTTCCGCTGAAGATGCTGAGAAGGTCTAAAGACTCTTTGAACTATGCTTTCAGGCGATGTACTTAATTTTCATGAAGACATGTTTGATTTTGAATCATCTCAATCAACAGCGTGAAAAATTGAAAATTTTCCTTTAAGCAGTTTCACTTTTTTTCATGTCATGAAATGAATAAAGATGAACAATTGCAAGTCGAGTGTGGAGAATTGAAGAAAATATGACATCTTCAGCAGCGATTGACAGCTATAAGTGATCCGTAATGAACCTTCAACAAACTTATAAGCTTAAAGTACAAATACCGCGACTTTCAATGGACTTTAAGTGTTAATCGTAGCATTGACTCGTGAACGATGACACAGTGGAACCGAAATTTTTATTGAATCACAATATAAAGAGAAGTTAAATAACTTTTAGCAAATAAAATGCGATCTTTGACGGTGATGGCGAACCAAAGCACAAGAAGAAAGATTTCACTTTCATTTTTTAATTTTTTTTCCCAACTTTGTTTCAAAGATAAAGCGTAAAAGATTTTTCATGTAATTTAATAACGAATTGGATATTTAGAGAGACATTAACGACACGGTTGGAAATTCCAATATGTTGGTTGATAAAAAGAAATAGAGAAATTGCGAATTTCATGCAAACAGAGTTCGAAGTTGACGCAATCAACGAATCTGTCAGATCTATTTCATTTATGGTCATTTTATAATTGAACATTCACCATTTCAGTTACGTGTAGGATTGCGATGGATTACCAATAACTATTGATCATTGATCATTACGATTAACAGAATACTTGATATTAACTTCTTTTACAACTTGCTTCTGTAATTCCATCTTCAAAACACCGACAATCAACGACATTAAGTTCTATTAATGATGGAAGATTAAGCGAAGAACTTGATGAATAAAAAAACCCATTAAACTTAAACTTGACTGGAGAATCATCTCTTCATCATTGTCATGGAATCAGCTTGAATTTATCTCAGTTTTTTTGCGGAAGCTTCCATTGCTCGCGCAACTTCCAGTTTCACTTCTTTTCTCTTTCAGAGTTATTGTCTAAAATTATTTCTTCCGATCGGTAAATCATTCGAAAAAGCTTGAGAAATATTCACTTTGTTTCTATTATTATGTTGGTGGCAATAAAACCATCCACAGGTGAAATCATTTGCGTTTAGACTCATCGTTAACCATGACGATGATTCATATTGTGATATTTAACAAAAAGCTATTGCAACATTTCATTTACTCGACATGAAACTCATTTGCTAAATCATATTCAATCACTTTCATTTATTTATATTTATTTTGTTTTTTTTCATTCTGCTGGTGTTAAATGGAAAACAAATTGCGAAACAGTAAATAAAACATTTTGAACTGCTTAAAGCAGCTGTTAAGTATTTTAACAAATCAAAACATACAACACGGCGTCAAACTAGATCACAATTCAGGCAAATTAAAAGTAAAACTGCAAATCAAATTCGCAAAATTGCTGAGACTGAGTCATGGAAAAATCTCGTTTTCGTCACATCGTGATATCGCAACAAGCACCAGAAAATTGGCGTGATCTTAGCACAATCCATTCTTTCATCGATATAATTTCACTTTTCTCTCTTCCAAGTCTGCACATAATCAAACCGTGTCATTTAATGACCATATCGATTGTTTCATAACTTCTGTTATTTATTTCATTCCGATCACTATTGTTACTGTTATTTATTATTGTATCCCAACATTGCACGTGAGATTTCACTTTGATGCTTCCTCTATCAAAGATTATTAACGGTACAGTCAAGAAAAGCTTGCAGAATTAATAATAAAACGTTTCACCAATCACCATCAATCATCTGTGAAAGATATAAATGCGACCGAAGATCATTTCTTTATTTTAAGTAACAAACAAGAGGTGGAATCAACTTCGTGTAAACATTTCCTCATTGCAGTTAACAACAAATTGTCTGCTGAATCGAGAAATGAGAGATGATATGTAAGTAGGAAGTATCCAAAAATTTATTTATTTCGCCGTTAGACTTTATTTGTAATTGAAACTCATTGTCCCTCAACTTAAACATGAAACTCATTTGAAAGATTTTGTGCCAACAAGTCGCCCACTAATAATGTTCTTAAGACAATAATTATTACGCAGTTTACGGTTTAAGTTGCGGTTTGGGTTTTTCGACCTTGTCAAAGTACAATCATCTTCATTCTTTAACATTTTTTCGATGTCCACCCACGCACTATTCTGTTTTCCTTACTTAAGTATTATTGTCATTGGAATATCTTCAGAAATTAATGGCATCAATTAAACTTCTAAGTAGAAATGTTCTTAAAGTTCAATATTAAAATGAAAATTGGTTCTTTCCATTCTTGATTTGATTGGAATCAGCTGCGGCGACATTGCAAATATGACAATGATTGAACGATGAAACTTAAAGCTTTTTACCCACACAAACACACACACAATCGCATTAAATTAGCATATGATTTTGATATGACATAAAATCTTAAAAATTGTTTTTATTTCTTCTTAGGATTTACGTAATTCGCCCACACAATTCCACGCGCTTGGTGGTGGTTTGATGGAGTAATGTCTGAAATACTCTTATTGCTTATTTAATAAATGACTTTTACGATTCATTTCGTGAGCTTAATGTGCGCATTAAATATTTAGTAAAGTGTTGACGAATAACTTACGGTTTCTTGAGGCATAGTGTTACAACTTCGAAGTGGCAGTTTATATTTTATTGGACCCTTGTGATCCCTGTAAATAATAAGAAAAGCAAGAAGAGATTAAAAGCTTAGCCGTTTAGTGCAACAAATGAAATTCCTAATTTACCTGTACTCTGATAAACATGTTGAGTTTTTTGCAAGACCTTTGGGATAAACCATCCCACTGAAAAGGCCGTCGTAGCTTGCTGGAGCATTTTTTATTGTTATAAGCATCGAGCCTGACAAGCAATCTATTTGTACCGTAGGCTCTTTCACTAGTGTGGCTTGTCCTAAAAACAAAACAAAATAAAAGAAAGAAATATTATGCAATTCTCTGATATTGCGCCATGAAATGGGACAAACACGACAACGTTAAAGTCAACAATCCATTGTTCGTCCATATGGTTAAATTAATTTACAAGAACCTTCCTTTCACAATGTTATAATGAAAGATTCCGTGACTAGATTTAATGAGTCACGACCTGGCGATTCCAGAATTGATAAAGGGAAGAAAGAAAGAAAAATGTCATTTTGTCGTTTCCCGTTAAGAACTTTACCATGCAATTGAAAGAAAGTAGTGTTTGAAATTGTCGACTTTAATTTATTGAAACGTTTAACATTCTTATGTTGTCAAAAAGATAGAGAAAGGCAATTATTTCCAAACACTAATCGTTTCTTACATGAATTACGATGACAATCAAATACGGTAGAAAATTCAACAATTTTATTTTCAATTACAATGAAATTTTGCCTATTAAATTGAAGATAATTTAACTGAAGATTCAAGAAAATATTTAGAATCATCGAGTTGAACACCTACAAGAGAAGAAAGTGAAGTGGGAGAGATGAAGTAGGAATTGAAAAGGAGAATCTTCTTCCAGTTGACGTTTTAAAAAGTCTTTGAACTTTAATTCTGAAGCTGCTTGCAGAAACTTTGTGAGAAATATTATTAAGAACCATTGCATAATAAACTCGTTAAATGAAACAAAAAACCGTGACGTTATAAAGAAAGCAATTTTATGGCAATTGTCAAAGCGTACCGAGCTGAATTTCTCTGTTGCGGCTTCCTTTCCACAACAGATGATGCTACTATGTTTTTAATTAACACTCAAAAGACAAGACTTTCATCTTATGTAGCATGAAAACAATTAGCATCGATAATGCTTAATTACAACAACTTTTTTTTTTTGAACAAAAGAAAGAAAACAAATGATTTGCGTATGCAAAGTTTCCAGTCTTTCTCAGCTTTGACGATGCATGAAAGTTGTTTGTTGAATTATGCAACTTAAGCTGTCGTAGCTCTCATTCTCACTAACTACCATTATAAAAAGTTATCCTGTATGTTTAATACGCTGCTAGCACGTTAGAGTTGAATACTTTTTTACTCATAACAAATAATTAATCTTCTTGCAATGTAATGTCCCGTTCGATAATGCTTATGGTGAACTTAGCAAATATTTTGGATATCTAGGAAATGTTGACTTGTCATTTATTTTATTTCTACAGTTAAATGTGCTGCTGTTGCTGTGACACAAGAATTTAAACATGACTAATGTGATTTACTAAAACATTCACTTCATAAATAATTTTCCGCAATTTTTTTCACTCGTGCTGATCTTTTAATCATTTGCAAGAAATCAAAAGTTTTATGCTTTGTCTTTATGAAAAAGAGAAAAAATAAAAATAAATAAAAACTTTGAGAAGAGGAAACGAGATTAAATTGCATTGTTGGAAAGATTTGAAGACTATTTCATAGGTGGTAGAGCAACAAATAAATGGATTGCGCTGTAACAATCGCGAAATTTCATCAGAAAAGTTCTCATAAGCAGCACGAAAATGCTAAGTTTAGTTCACTAACTCGATGATGAAGAAGTGCAGAACAATATTAGTTAGTTAAATCAACTTCACTACGTTTAAGTGAATGTACAAGAAGACAAAGCCAACCATCTCATAACGCTGTGAGTGCAATAAATGCAAAGTAAAATGTGTTGTTGTGAAGTTGCAACTGGCGAAATGTAATCTATGATCAATATTTGTATTCAACAATATGAAAAACTGTTCAATAAAGCCAAAGCTAAGAAATATCCGTAAGCATCAAACTCAAAGAAAGACAGAAATGCATTTAAAAGATACGCTTAAGGTTGTAACTCAACTCTTTGGTGATGTTGGTTTTTGAGTGAAGTTGAATTAAGCGTGAACTTTTGTTTCAACTCTGAAAAAGCATTCAACAACGGTCAAATAAATAAACTTCGCCATAAACGGCGGTCATGAATCTTTTACCAATGGCTATGAGAGACTGCAAACTGCTCGTAAATATTTTTAAAAACAATCTCATTTAATTACGGCGTAAAGAGTTAAATGAAAAGAAATTCCTTATGAAAAATTCTTTCATTTTTGTTAATTTGACGATGGTGTGTCGGACTGAAGAATGAAAAATATTTTTCGAACCTCGATCTTAAATGTTTGACTTTAAAGTTCCCAAAAAATTCATTAATGATTTTTATCCAAACAACCATCAATTTAATTTATAAATTTTATGATATAATGGAAGAAGATTGAATTGAAAAATAAATATATAAATTACTGTGTAGAAGTTATAGAGTCGCATAAATAATATTTAAAAGTCCACATCAAATTGCTTTTACGACTTTCATGTATAAATTTTATACTTACGTTTGACTGGAGGAAGTTGTGCACTATGTGTTAACGTTGCTATTGTCTGAAGAAGAAAAAAAGAAAGAAAAATAAGATGAAGATTGTCGAACAAAACAACTCTCGAGAAATTTATGAATAGGTTGAATTAGAATTTGATTCATGACAGCATTTGAGCAATGACCAAAGAATTTTAATGAAGTGAAATTGTGAATGTCGGATGGCTGTCTCAGCAGTTAGTAACAGGCTTAAAGCTATAACTGTATGAGATTGCGTAACAAATTCCTCAATTGTTTCAGACATTAAAACTTTATCGGAAGAGAAGCTAATTAAAAGTAAAGCGACTTTTTTATTCAATTCATGGTTTTAAATTGCGTGAAGCCGTGAAGGGCAAGTTTCTACTTTAAAAGTTGGAAAATCTTTAGAAGGTTGAGAACTTTTTTAATTTTTAAGTAATTTTAATTGCTCGATTCACCGTTTGAAGTCGAATTTTTAAATCAGATTTTAAACTGGATAATTGTCTGCATTAGAAGGTAAACCGCTGGCCACTGACCACTGCTGCTGATATTTCTCAGGGCAATAAAGTTGACGTTCTAATGAATTTGTAGGCTTGGTGTTAGATATTTTTTCTTTAAGAAATCCCATGAGTAAGTATCCGTCTAATAAAAATGTGAAACGGTGTTTAGTTTCTCTCTTAGACATTCACTCGTCCATGAAGTGAAGAAGAAAAAACTTCTCAAGTATTGGCAACATAAATAAATTAGCATAATAAATAAATTAATGATTTTCAACTTCTTGTTTCTTTCGTTTTCTAAGCGTATACGCGTTTTTACGATCATTGCCGAAATAAACATTTCAACGGTACATTTGCTAGATGGGATTGAACTTAAGGTAGGAGAGATATCTAAGGTGAAAGAAATTAAACATTCAAAGCGATTAAAATTTCTCTTTGGAATCAATCAACAAAGTTTAACTCCACTCTGAACAGCTGTAGGGCCCGTAGATCACGCCATGAGACCAAAACTTTTAGCGAGGCCAAATGATTGTCGATTGAGAGTAAATAAATATTCGGGCTCGGCAATTTAATTCATTTACATTCATTCCGTTTTATTGTTGATATTATTGCTGTTGTTATTGAAGCTGCAACAGCGCAACATGAATATGATCACTTATGTATGAAGTTAAGTTGAATTCGAAGTTGAAGTCTCTTGAACGGCTGGCTGGTAAGAAAGTTCAAGTTACAAATATGGAATGGAAACGAAACTATATAAGCAAATTAAGAAAGAGAGAAGGAAAATGGAAGAAAAAGAATTAATAAACTGGATTCGTGAACTTTCGAGGCGCGCAAAAGGCATTGAAACTATTGCTGGTGGATTACATCGACGATATTCACCAGCAAATTTTTAATTTAACTTTTTTTATCTTCACGATATTTTGCGAACGTAAATAAAAGCAAGCAAAAAAAATTTCCTCTTTTTATTATTTTCTCGTCTATCATTCATTGGCTCACTTTTAGTCATGTTAAATAATTTTCTTTCTTTTCAAGCATAATTGGAAGGCAGTTCGAATTGAATTGAAATAGAAAGAAAAAAGCGGTCAAGTAATGGACCACTTTTAGGGAGCGATTAGCGTTGTTGATGTTTGTTGTTGAATAATTTCAAATATCTTCGGTCGGATGTTGTGTAATCCAATGACGTGACACACAATGCATGTTTTCTTTCTTCTTTGTTTACTGACCCATTTCGGGTGGAGAGTTTTGCATATTAAATAAAGCAAATTAACATCTGTGAGTGGTGGCTCGTCTCAAGTCTGAATTTCATTATGAAAATCGCTTTTAAATATATTCGAATGGATATTAAGAGGGACATGAAAATTGAACTGTTATTTCGGTTCCTTCAATCAACAACTCAATTAGTTTATGTAAAGAGCTTCGATTAGTTAACAACGTTAATGGTTGTTGTCTGTGAGAAGACGTCAGTGACGAGACCCTAAAGGAAAGTTTCAGTGATATAAATATCGATGAAGTCACTTTTTTATGTTTTCGGGTCATCTCCCCAAGCCCAAGCAAAGTTTGTAGAGAAATAAAAAAGAGAAAATTTGTTCGGCTCCACAAAACCATGATTAAGGCATGTAGGGTGTGCATATAAAAGTATCTGGGAAATGTTGAGATTTCAATTGGAACTCTCGATTATTATGTAATTATGAAACCTAAACGTGGAGCATTTCTTAAGCTCATTTATTGATAGTTGCGAGCGTAAGTTAAGTTTCTGATCTTATTTCATGTTTCACATCAAACATTTTTTCTTTTTCAATTACAATCTTTCATGTTGAGACTTCTGTGACTTAAACGCAAGAATTGTTAAAACAACATGAAGGAAAAAGATATTTTATGTCTCTTACTTCATCTTATTCATGTGGATATTTAAAATGTGTAACGGTATGACGACATGTTCGTGTCAATCCTTAATGACTCTGTCCGAATAATATTTCTTTCATGAATTGTGGTTGTGGTTTTCATTGTTGATAATAATTATGAGATGAGAGAGAGAGAAGTTTCTTAATTTTTATTTATTTCCAACTCGACATGTTTTTCATTTGCAGTTAAAAGTTTTAAAAAGCGTAGTTAACTGTTGTTAACAAAGTGATTGCATTCACTTCCATTGTTTTAAATTTAATTCGCTAGGAGGAAACTTCCAAATAGATGCACACGACGTTCTCTTTAAATAACTTATAAGTTTTCACACTTGAATTGTTATGGACACTAAGACAACATCAGAGACATGAAACGAGGTGATGTCATTAGAAATGTATGCCCATCAAATATTCTTTTATTGAATAAACCGTTCTTCTGTTTACATTGCTCGCTGATAAAACTTTCTACATAGTCATGGTCAACATTCATATTTAAATACTTACGATAAAATTTAAAAGAATTTGTAGAAATTTGTTGCAAAGCGCCATGTTACTGTAAAGAGAGAGAAAGGAATTGATTTTGTTATTAATTTCTAAACACAAACTTATATTTATACAACGTCATTGTTTCACGCCAACAAAGTAAATTATTAATGCGGATGGTAATGAAATTTTCTGTCTACAATTTACAACATAATTTTAATTATAAGATTTTATCGTCACGGGAAAAAAAAGATGAAAAACAAAAATTATGAGAGACGTGAAAAAAATTCCGCAATATTTGCTTCTGTCGAAATTGAATTACTTCACTTTATGATTGCTTTGAGACTTGCATCGAAAGAAGAAAAAATTCTCTCAGACCTAAATACTTCAGATGATGATGATGACGAAGATGACAAAGACGATGATATCTGAATGAGTTAAAGCACAATCTAATCTGATCGATTACAGTTATTTCACAGCCCAACCATGAAAAGGCGAATCGTAAGAATCGTAACCTTTGGCACGAAGCCTCACGTAGCTTTAAAGGGAAGAACTCGAGTAGAACAATTGTTCGAGTTTATAACAATAATAATAAAAATAACAAGAATTGTTTAAAGTTTAAAAGCATTTCCAATCGATAACGAGCATAAAACGAGTGACTGGAGGGAATCGTAACCTTATTTGCCTCAACACACTTTTTTTTATTGCTCCATTTGTTTTTAATTGAATCGTGTGGCGTTTTCTATTCTTAGATATTTATTCTAAGATGTCGAGACAATGAAAGAAAATTGGCATTACCATGAGAACAATAATGCCCTGAATTCCTTGACATGAACCGTTAAAATAAGAAAGAAAAAAGCGCATGGAAAAATTTTCTTTTTTCACTTCATGTGTGATCATCATCAATGAAGTTCACTCTCATAATTGTAAATGCTTACACGACAAACAGAATTTTTATCTCAAGAAATTGTCTTGACATAGAAAATAAATTTATATATTTAATTTTAATGTTTCTTCGCTTTTTTATTTTCCCGCTCACATAATTTCTCGTCTTCAAAATTGATTTTTTGTTCTTTAATTTGATTACATGCACGATAGCGAACATTCGTGGTGTGGTGAATTATTCGTCGAGTTCGCATCGTTATGAACCGTACGGAAACAATTTCTTTTACTTAAACCTGGTAATGCATGCAAAGTCAATTAATAGGAATTCTTGTAACGGTTCTTTTCGGGTATCTTGTTTCACGTTGAAAGCTTTTAATGTTGCGAGTTTCGAGTTGCGAGTTGCGTACCTTTACTTCAATCCGAATAAATAGTGTTAAGACCCTTTAAGAAGTTTTGAAATGTTGAATGTTTCAATCACTCATTGCGAAACTTTATATGAATACGTAACTGTAATTAACCAGTCGATCAATCAATCATTAGATCAGCATATGAATTAACATTCATTCTCAGAGATCACAGAGTTCATGTGCCAAACCTTAACAGCGAACTCAAAGATTTTATTTAACTTTCATGAAAATGAATGAGTAAGTAAGTAGTTTCGACATGAAACTAACGACGATTCAATTAGACAAACAGTGACTCTGAAAAATCAAGTTAAATGAACATATGGCGCTGAATGTCCGTTGCAAAAAAATGAAAAAATTTGCTGTAAAATCTTACGCAAGCCTCAAGGACTTTGAGTTTATTATTTAGTATTCGATCAAAGCAACACAAATGGCGGCAGTGACGATTTTATTCATTTACTCATAATATCGAACAAAATATCCAGTCAAGTCTTTATAAAAATAAATGAAATGAAATATTTTGCAATTTTCTTGATGGAGTCTTCCATGTCCATGTTTCATACTTAAGTTGTTTTGCCATCAAAGACTCGAAATAGCTTAAGTAAGGTGAACAATCGACACTTTTCGTGTTTTGCTTTCAATCCATAGTCCAGTTGTGATCGCAATGATCGTCATGGTTAAGTCTTAAAACGCTGCTAATCGTAAATTGAATTACGGTAATTGCTTCAAAATTATTTCCGATACGAAAAAAATCAACAAAACTTCTTCAAAAAGTGAGAAATGTTCAGCAATCAATCGATGATTCCATAAAGGTGAAGATTAAATAATCCAATAAACAAATTTCTTCCGGACAGCTTTCATCGATTTCAATTGATATTCAACGAACAAAAATTCATCTAACGTTTCATCTTACTTTTATTCATATCAAAATTAAATGAAATCTTACATAATAATCAAACGGAAAGTAAAAAGAAATTTTGGCAAGCTTTTAATGTTGAATATTAATTCAAAACTTTCTTTCTATCATCACAAATTGGATTCGATTTTAATCATTCTTGAAATCAATTTAAATTTTCCGCCATCAATTTAATTGAATGCTTGTTTTGTCATATTGAATTGAATTTAAATGATTCTTTCATTCTATTCAAATGTGAGCTGTTGTTATGTTGATTTGTATCGCTGAATTTCGCATTGAATTAACGGAAGAATTAATTGTTGTGTAGAATCTTTGTTAAGTACCTGACAAACGATGAAAATTTCTCGCAAACTATCAATCTGACTCTAACAATGTGTGAAATGTCACAGTTATGCTCCATTAAGTAATCATTCTCTTGACGTTATTTCGATAAACAATGAAGGTAAACGTTTAACTTCAATTTCTTTTCATCTTTCCATATACATCAAGGAGTTGTCTACTTCACCTTATTTCTGAAATGTTATTTGACATCATCACGTCATATCAACATTACGAGTAGGCTTTTTTGTTTGAAACTTTCTTCAAAGAATTCCATCCCGTTGCGGGATGATGACAAATGAAGAATAATTCTGATGAAGTAAGACCTTGTGACCTTAATTCCATTTCTTATTCTCAACTTCTCTTTTGACTCTTCAATTCGTCATTCTATGTCCGTGACAGAACGCATTACTTATTTAGTTTAGAGAATATTAACAGCAACAACAAATAACAGCACCTGTGATGTGATGGATTAAGCGTTAAATAATTGTAGGTTGATAGTTTCAAGAGTTTCAATAACCAATGCGGCTTTTTAATTTAACATCTTTCAATGTTAATGACACTGCAATTAATAGTTAGACGAACCTTCCTTCCTTTCTCACCATGAAGCCATCAAACGATTCCGTGATTCATTCATTCATTCATTCTGTCATGCTATTGACCACATATAAATATATCTCGACAATGTTATCGCAAACAATAAGAAATAAGATATTCTAACTAACATTCAATGACTTTGTTAATATTTAAGTGCACATAAGAATAATAAGAAGGCATTCAATTGAAGAGATTTTACTTTATGTGTTTTTTCAAATCATTCTTTCATATTTAAAATGAAGCTTGTGGTATGTTGAAGAGTGAGTAAGTAAGAAAGAAAGTGTGTGGATTAATCATCATGAAAATGTAACTTATAGCATGCCATTGTTGTCCATCATAAGCTTAATTTACTTTAGAACAAGATTCATTCTTTGTCTTCTTGCTTTCTCATTTCTTTGAAGAGTTGATGGCGTCGGAGATTTTAATTTGAAATCTAATCATCATCATCATCTTGATTTGGTTGGTGGTTAAGTACATAAGTAATAAGAAATGTTTATCATGCATCATCGAATGAAAGATATTCTCTCATGTAATTGCTGTTTGTTATTTCTTAAGTAAATTTCTGAGATTTTGGGTCAAGTAAGTCTCGAAAAAAAATTAATTGAAGATGGAAGATGAATGCAAATTTTTTAAAATTTAATTATATTCACATATGATGATTAAGATCTCAGATTTCATTCTACAATAACGTGTGGGATAAATATTTAATAAAATGTTTGTTGCTGACATTCCACCTATCATTACTACTAAAATTCTATCAGAGTGCGTGTGGAGTTCTCAACACAGAAGTGAAGTTTCTGTTTACGATTTCAATGTCAAGCTAAGTATAGATGTTCAACTATCTATCAAAGTATAAAACTTATCAATGTGTTTGATTATTGAAATAAAAAGAAGAAAGAAAAATCCCACAATGCGATCTCAAGGCTGTCAGATGTGTGTGAATTAAATGTGATCTTCCCATCAATGGAAATCAAATAAAATCACATTGAAACAAGTTTTACTGGTGACTGGGTTTGGTGACTAAAAGATTCATTGCGAACTGATTGTGGGATGATGATATTGATGCTTACTCTTTGTTTCGAATGATTATGCAATTGAATATGCAAGGCAGCATTCATTAAATGCACTTGAACATTGTGATCTTGTGTCTATTCATTTATTTCCATATAGAGAAAATCAAAATCACAATCACATGATCTGAAACAATCGAGAAACAACAAACAAATTTGTTTCACGACAAATGATTTTATTAAGTAGCCCGCTTGACTTGTTTATGTTTCCTTGGCGACATTTGATTTAAGATCAAAATAACTTTCACCCTTAAGCTTTTGTCGTGTAAAAAATTTATCGTAAAATCACGCAAAACATGCCAAAATTAGTGTCGTGTGACTTTGAAGTCTTTGGAAAGGTTCAAGGAGTTTATTTTAGAAAATATACCGAAAAACAAGCAACTGTTCTCGGTTTGAGAGGTGAATGAATTCGTTAACTTCCTTACAAGTTGTAATAAACTGTGATTCACAGGATGGTGCAAGAATAAATCAACTGGATCTGTCATAGGGAAGATAGAAGGAGACGAAACACGCGTCCATCAGATGATGGATTGGTTGAAAACCACAGGAAGTCCGAAATCTAACATCGTCAAAGCCATCTTCAGTGAACCCAAAGCAATCCAAGACTTTTCAACTAGAAACTTTACAATCAGACGTTGAATCACTTGCATCATCATCATTCAAACAATAGAATCTTCTTCGTTTTGCTTGTTTTTATGCAATATCATGATCTTCTTGTCAGTCACTTTTGGCTTATCTGATGATGCTTGAAAAACGAATTTTTTTGCAAGTTGAATAAATAAATAACAGAAATTTCATCGTCAACATAATTTAGATGTGCAATATCATAATTAAAATCGATTCTGGTTAATTTTCAATTCTTAACAAGAAAAATGTCTCATCGTGATCTAAAAAGAATCTCAAATAAGCTCACAAAGCAAAATGACTTATTTAATAAAAACTTCAACAATTTTGAAAGAGTTTTAATAAAAACACACGAGAAACAATTTTTCTATTCAAAATAAACAGAAGAATGGAAAATTGTTTTCATTTCATAAACAATTCGAACAACATTTCAAAGTTTCAAAACTTCATCAGGCGAAAAGTACAAGAAAAGATTTTTTGGCTTTTTGTTTCGTTAGTTACTAAAAAGTCAAAAACTGACAAGAAAATGTTTCTATGGTAAATTAAATCAACAACATAAATTGTTTCAAGTTGCGGACAAACAATGGAATCGTCTTGTTTTATGTTGATTTTTTCCTCAAATGATTCGTTGAGATTTGATTGTCAAGGTAAAGTGTTCGTGTCATGAAGTGTCACAAAATTATCGAGGCACAAATTGAAACCATCATCCAAGTTTCATTTTACGAATCGATGAGTTCTTGGTCTTTGTTGTTATTATTAACCAGCATGAAACATCACTTTGCATGATGCGGAAGACATTCCTTAAATTTAATTTCTTGACTACTTCACATCATTGAAAGACATCAAAAACGCTGAAAAGTAATTCAACGGTATCGAAGTGGAAATATTTTATGATTTAAATTCGACAGGTTTATGTTTTTGGTTTCCTTCATTTCTCCTCCACACTTCATCACCTTCCTTTCATTCGATACAATTGTTCTGTCGTTTGACTTTATTTTTTTTATTCTGAAGCGGATGTAAAATGCCGTAATCGTTTATGAGATGAGCTTGAAGCAATTCAACCACAATTCAAATGTCTAACTAGTCGAGAAGTTACTTGATTCTTTAATTGAAAGAAAGGTGAAAGAATCGCTTTTAGCAAAGTGAGATAAATAAATATAGAAGCTAATTAGACATACAAAGTTGTAATTAGCAATTGCCATACATAAAGTAACGCCAAGATTAAGACTTAGAAACTTATTCACTTAATAAACTTGGCTAAGACAATCTACATAAAGCCAGTTTTTCGCCATCGTAGGTGTCAATTTGAAGGCGTCGCAATCCACTGTTTCTGTGCTGTTTATTCGTCTAAATATCTTAAAACTTTTGACTCACATCATGAATGTTTGGTTTCACGAAAACAACTCACACAAATGCGATTAGACGCGTTCATCATCTCAAGTCTTTTCAAGCCTTGAATGCCGCCGCTTCATTTTTTACTTCTCTCATACTTTTCTTTAAAAAAAACTCTTTTTGGAGTGAATTACACAATTGCGTAATATTATTTTGTGTTTACACACGACACGTATGATGGGAGAGTTGTCGGATCGTGTACACTTAAGCTTGAATGATTTTCATTATTTTGATTGAATCAATATGAAATTTGCATTTTAAATTCCATTTCCACACACTTTTTGTACTATGCTTCAATGCAATGCAATTATCATGTGTTGCTTTGTAGTTGAAGTACCACGGAATTCATATTTTAGCATTAAAATTCATCATCATCATCTGAATGACCTTTTCAAAGCTGAAACATCAGCATCGTAGTCTGCAAAAACTTACCTTAGTAAATAGTCAAAGAAGTTAGAACATAAAAATGTTAAGAGCTAATGAAGTGTTGAGTTATCACAGATGAAGTTACAGCAGGAGACTCCTGTTGTTATCCCAAAATGATACTTTGATAATTAATCCCACAAAAAAAGAGAGAAATAAATTTTGTAGCAATCAGAAACGAGATAAAATTTATAGTTGAGGCTGAAGTGTTGAACAGGATAAACAGCAAGCGCGTGAAGGTTTCGTTTTCGAATGCACTTTTATTGACTTTTTCCTTCTTCTCCGTTTTCCTCTCAACCTTCTTTATTAACTTTTTTTTATTTCAATTTTAAGACGCGCAAGAGTAGCAAAGCAAAATGTTGTTGAATTTTTATTTTTATTTCTTATTTCTTGGTGTTGTTATTGCCAAGTAACTACCACTAGATTTCTTTTTCTTTTATTTTCCTGCACTGATTTTATTTTCTTTCACATTGAAAACCATACCAAGAATTTTTCATAAACACAAAAGATGAATAAATATTGAAAAGATTTTTTTTTTTGCATTTACTTCACAACTCCAACAACAAACGTCATTATTATGTTTTGACTTGTGTAATGCGAGAAATTCTTTTATCAAGATCTTTGAAGATGTTCACATTTTTGAATAACAATAGATTCGAGTGAAATTGGAAGCCGGTTGGTCAGCACTGTAACTTTTCTTTTTTTTTCTTAATTAATAATAGAAAAAAATCGTTTTTAATATTAAAAAAAAATTAATTCGGACGAAAAAGTTCCACAACTCTTTTCGCTTCGGATGCTTTAACAATACTGACTTGAATTACTCTTTACCAGTTCTCGCATGTATTTGAGTTGTTGAATGAATGCATAAGCAAGTCGATACGAAGATTTTTACCTGTTCGTTTGTGTGGTGTAAAAATTTACTTGCTGACTTGAGAAATGATCAAAGTTTTGAATGTTTAGGTGTTTATGTGGTAAAGTTCCGAATACCATAAAGATGTTAATAAGGAAATGCTAACAAGAAGAACCTTTGAAATTTAACGCAGTAAATTTGGCTACAGGATATAAATAATTAAAAAGTTTAAATGTCGACAAAGGGCGATTAAAATGATTTTTATTACTCATCTATGAAATTGCTTTCAACCGTCTTCGAACTTTAAATAAAATTTAAAACATTTTTTATAGACAATCACTTTTAAGAGTCTGAAGTCGTTAAAATCAAAATTCTACTTGGAGAGAAAATTAATTCAGAATTTTAGCGCTTTAACATTTTTCTCTTTTTATTTTTAGTAACGAAATTATTTGTCGTAAAATCTCCCAACAAGGAAACTCGAACACCTTGAACACACATTGATACTTTGCGATTTAAGCTTTTCAATGCTAAAACTTCGATTAGAACATTTAATTCACCCACGTGAATATCGAAGTAATGTTTAAGTAAGCATTAGTAATAATAAAGATCAGAATCTTAGGTGAATATAGACAATGTCGTGTCCTAGCTGCTTCTCCGCCAGTCGCCACATAAATGATTTAAAGTCGCTGAAGAATAAGATCAAACTGGTTTAACTTAGGCCATTTGCGTTTGCAGAAACTTTGCTTGTGTATTCTCCTTCAGTCGCGATATTTTTGTCCATTGTAGTTTGCTTTTTTATTACTTTTTATGATACAAAACCTTGATTGTATAAACATAGCTACTCGAGTTTATTTCCAACTACACAGCAGCAGCAAACATTCTCATTCTTTCTATTTATGATATCTATGAGACATTTCAGAATTATCTTTTATGTTAACTATCAATGTTTGCTCAATTATGACGTCGCAAATTATAAAATCATAAAAATGATCATCAAAGTTATATGTCAAGAAGGAAATTTCTTCTTTTAATTGAAATGATTGTTAGTTAAGAAGTCATCATTCATTCATATGATGGAAATCTTGTTAGTTACTTACAATAATAGAAATTCTGTCATGTCGAACATCCGCACACACACACGCATGTAAGAAAAAAGTTAATAAAATGCATCGTAAAATCAATCACAAATTTATTTTTTATTATGACCCTTGCGACTTGAAAGTAATTGAAGATCTCATGAAAATATTTATTACTTGATCACAGTGTACTGAAGAATTGTGATAGAAATCAAATTGTAATCAGGGGAAGAAAAGGAAAATAAAATTGCAATTTAAACGTCAATTGACGTCTCATAAATGAATACAAGAAAATCTTTCATCCCCGTAGCGGTAAAGTTTCTTTTACTGTTTAATTAATCACGATATTTACAACTGAGATACTAGAATCGTTTCGATAAGTAATTTATTGCTTCATACTAATTTAACGAGACGTCATTAAATTGAGAAAGAAACTCTAATCATTCTGAGATGATTCTCAAACTTAATTGCAGACGTAATAAAAATATATATTAAAGATATTTTATAAAAGATATTGCCAATGGTTAAGTCGGAGCTCCCAGGGGAACATTAATCAGCTTTGAGTTGGTTCACAACTCATTTGTCACTAAAATTCCAATCGAGAACTTTAAGAAACTCTTTTTCTGTTATCTCTAATGCTTTTGTCTTCTCCAAGCAAATATTCTGACGTCGTAGATTATCGATGAGGATAATTTGTTGCTTGTACGCTTTCAGCATATCCATTCGGCCTTTTCGCAATTTACTGATTTTTTCCTCGTACGCAATTTTTTCTTCCTTTACAGTTTCTCGCATGATCTGAAATAAAAGTTCATAAAATATCCAAAGGAAATTAAAATCCCATCGATTTTGTGAAATTATAGACAAGCTTACGATATCAATTTCTTTGAACGTTTCGAATTTCGTTTTCATCATTTCATAATCTTCTTGAACCTTTAGCAATCGCTTCTCGATTATCTGTTTTTCGTGATTAACTTCTTTTGCCTCTTCCTTCAGTGCTAATAAATCTTTATTAAGTTCGCTGTTGGTTGAATCTTTTTCCTGTTAAATATTCATTTGTCAGTCGAATCTAATTCAATTACCAAAGTTTAGAATTAAATAATAAAAAAGATTCTCACTTTTAAGTTTTGTTCAGCGACTTCCTGTTTTTCCTGAATATTTCTCAATGTCGTTTCAAGTGACTCAATCTTACTCGCTGACTTAGTAACTTGAGTGTTGAGTTTCTTAATTTTCTTCACGTTCTTTGCGTTTTCTCGCTCGAGTGTGTCATTGAGAGATTTACTTACTTCAAGTTCTGATTGAAGAAGTGCAACTTTTGATTTCAGAAATCTAGGAGGAAACATAAACTGAATAATTGAGCATTAATATTTATGAAACTATGCAATCTACTTTAATAATCCATCATTGCTGATATTCTTCTTCTCCATTGATTTTGGTATGATTTCAGTTAATTCGAGCAACGGTGGTGGTTGAGTTGGTGAAATGGATTGCAAATTAGCGGATGGAATGGCAGATGAATCATCAGAATAGCGCGTGATCATACTTTCATTTTTGAAGCTCATACTTTCAGATTTAACTTCTTGTGTCTGTTCAGCATTTCCATCAGATATCATTGAACCAGTTGGCATGTGAATATCTAAGTTAGTTCTTATTGGAGGCTTCGGTGTCTGACGATTGAAGAATGGATAAACGATTTCTTGTGGTTTCTTTATTGGTTGGGGAGACATGCTAATCTTTTTGCACATCAGTTCGAGCCCATCATCTTGAGCTTCCTTATGCAACGATGATGATGTACATGATTGCTCGTCATAGTAATTGAAATAATTATTTGACGTATGAATCTGCACTGGCTTTCCTTGCAATTTATTTGATGCAGCTGTTGCCTGAATCTTTTTCGACTTTGCATTCAACTTGGCGTTAAGCTTGAATAATTCTTTCTCGCGTTCTATAAATTGCTGATCCATTACTTAAAATACTTTTTGATTGAAGTCTTTTAAAAAACTCGACACAATGTTGAGTTGCTATGATCAAACTTTAAAATTTCGATCGACATGGCAACGATGAAAATAAAGAAGGAAGCAACAAGTTGAAATGCTGACCTAAGAAGCAGCACTTAGTTACATATTCATCATCGCCGTCGTTACGTTTCATCGATTGCTACGCTTACATGTTAGATTTCTTACGACTTACAATAATGTTTCTGTGATGGGATGACGATGTGAATAATTATTTCTCTTGTTCTTATGCTCGTATTACTTTTTGATTAATGTCTTTTGAAGAAGAAAAAAAATTCTTCAAACTCATTCTCGACCCGAAGGCATCACATCATGCTAATAGACTTCAAATCTTATTTTTTTATCCTAATGAGTGTTAATTTTAATTTATTTTTCTTTCATTATTCTGTTATTTGTTTGAAGAACACAAAGCAACGAAAATATTTCTTGCTTGAATTATTGTGTAGGGTCAGCTCGGATGACGAGCGAAAGATGAATGTTTGAACATCACAAAAATCTAGACAAAAATAATATTGATACAAGAGATGTTTAGAAATCTCATCAAAAGCATTCCTTTTAAGTGAAACTCATCAGATAAGATAGAGAAGAACAACTAAGCAACACTCTTATGTTTGTTAATTTTCAGTAATCATCGTCAATTTGTTGTTTTCTTCATTCCAATTCGCGATCTTTATAAATATTCTATTTAAAGATCTGATCAAAGCGTTGACCTCATCGAGTATTTGCGGTTGAAAATTGAATAATCTCATCAACGCCGTTAATCTTAACTCAAGAACAACTTGAAAGTCTTTTTTGAATATTCTTTAAGAGTTTATTTTCTTCTAAGAGAAATTTAAGTGTGCGAATAGCTGAAGAATTCTTAAGCCAATAATCATGTTGAGAATCGCGAGCTCAATTTGAAGATTTGAAATTCCTTCAACAAATCTTCCTGCAATGTTAATAAAACTGCTGAAATATTCCCAATAGAAAAAGAAAAACTTTCTGATCAATTTTCACCCTCATAAGACAATTAATTTTCCATCACAACCACACAAACTTTCCTATCATAATTACATCTAAAAATAAGATTCAATTTATTCTTGCAATAATTGAATTAATGTTTAATAATGTTCTGAAAGCAACAAGTTGACATGCGCTTGGGTGCGAAAATATTTGTATAAAAAGGAAAAATCTCAACAATTCAGCATCAGTTTGAATAAGAAAGTTCCAAAGAAAATTTACTTAAAGAAAAATAAAGTCACAGTCATGATGTCAATCAAGTCGATCATATCATTAACATTCGTTGTTTTATTGATTTTCACAATCTCATCATCAGTCGATGCTGCTTTTAAGAAGCTTCCAATGAACGGCTCGATGTTTGGCAAACGAGGAACATCAATTGGTAAGATTTCTAATCCACTTTCGAAGATTCTTTTAAACAAATATTTTTGATTTCAAACAGAATACGAATCAACAGCACAGAAAGCTTTAACCGCCATGTGTGAAGTTTGTCAATCGTGGTTCAATCAAGACAACTACGTCAATTGAAGCAACCAAAACGATGAACGATGACGATCCAATGACTTCTCTCCTAATCCTGACTACGACTACCATCAACTTTATCTAATCACAATTTGAGTTTCAAGCAAATTTAAAAAATGACAAAAAAAATTAAAGTTTCTCACAACTCAAACCTTTTTTAATAAATAAATTAAAGAAAAATCTTTATTGATTTTATTTAAACTTTATTTTGTTTTTGTTCCGTTCTCTTGACTCAAATATAAATTTTAATCAAATTAACAAGACATTTAATAAAAAAATTATTAATTCAATGACGATTATAATCTAAATACTTGACGATGACGATTAATTATTGAAATTCATCATTAAAAACTTTGATAACGTGATGAAGCAACGAAATGAAATTCTTGTCGTTACGAGAAAATTTTAACAATTTTCTTTGCATCCGAAATTTTTAAATACGTTAACATTAAAGAATAAGACGAAGTCGAATTTAATCAGCAGTTTTGTGACTCTTCTTCGCTTTCGTTTTCTAAATTATTTAATTCTTCGACTCGATTCCTCAAATGAGTCATGTAATCGGTCATCAAAGTCACAAACGCCTGAAAAAGATGAAAATTTAATTAATTAAAATCTCTTTATAAAATTAAATGTCAACTTACTGTATTTAAAATATATTTATGTAGTGAACCTTTCAGATCAATGCACAACAGCCATTCAAAAATGGAAGAATTCTCTTCACCTTCAACAGGTCGCATTGCCCAACATGACACAAGATTGTCGCCTCTAATGTACTTGTCGGTTGGTGGAAGTTTTGGATAATCAATTGAGATCGCTGCACTCACAAAAACGTCTTTCAGACGATCAATTTCATTTTGAATTTCAACTTGAGCATCGGAAAATTGATCGTCATCATCACTGTTAATATTTGAAGCTTCTAAACTTTTACTCAATTGCCTCACTTCAACATTTCCGTTCTCATTTTCCTGAGAGTTTCGACGCAAACCATTGAGAACAACATCACTTGATGATTTCTTAAGTTGAACTCTTTCACATTCATTGACGACATTTTCAGAATTTCCATTTTGAACATTTGATTGTGATGATGGCGATTGTGAGTTTAGTTTAAAATTTTCAATCACATTTGAATTATTTATGAGCTTCCAACATCTGAGATTAACGAAATCTCGACTTTTAACTATTCCGCCTCCTCCAGATGTTGACACAGAATACGAGATGTCAGTGTTGTCATCAATTTTCTAGGATAATGAATTAAAGATTATTTCAGTTGTTACACAGAAAATTTTAGGCAGTCGACATAAAACTGAAATTTATCTAAAAGTGATGAAATTATGAAACTTTCTTCTATCAAATTTGCATTGAGAAATGCAAAAATTGTGAAACTTTTCAGATATTTCATAACAAAAACTTTCAAACGCAACTTCCTTAAAATGGAATTCAACTCACTTTTATAATTCGTGACTCAAGAAGTGTTGGATTCCATGTGGGAAACTCTTCAATTCCGTAAAAAAGTTCCTTCAAAAGCTTCTCTGGCGGATACTCGACTTTCGCTCTTAACTTGTAGATCTTCCCAATTGGCTTTGATGATGTGTAGATGACATCGCTTGATGCTGTCGTTCTTTCAACTTTCCATCCTGGAGACTCGAGAAGTTCATAAGCTTTTATCACAGTTTCAATGCCAAGACGTTTGAATTCGTCATCCTAAAGTAGAAATAATTAAAATTAATTAAAGAAAGATAGAAATAATGTGCCAACCATTGAAGTTAACGAAACATATCACAGACAAAAGTCAACTGATCAATACGAACTCAGGTAAGAATGTTTTTATAGCGCAACAAAGTTAATTGTTCATTTAAATTTATTCGATTTCATGCCTCTCACCGTCGACAACGTCTGGACATTGATAAATCTTTCACTTGTGTGGGGTTGACGACCAAAGAATATTTCAAATAAGTTCATTCTGATAAGAAAATCAAGAAAAAAACTTCTTTCGATTATTCAGATGATGAACAGAATGAATTTAAAATTTCTCGCGTGATCGAATAAAATTTTAACTTTTAAGAGTCTTAAAGGAAATCACAGTTCGAAGTGGAAATAAATATTTAATGTAAAGATAATTTATCTTTTTTTTTGTCATTTACGTTACGATGATAAAAGATTAATTACGATTTTAGTTGACAGTGATGACTGCAACTTATGAGTCGTGAGTTATAAAATAAAATGATTTAAATTCTCTTATTACATTGAATGAAAGTTCATATGAATTTCATCTTTTAATCACCTGAATGTCATAAGTGCACTTCGCATTATCTCGTAATCTTACAAAAAATTCGTTTATTAAGATTAACTTTTTCAAGGTTTTCTTCGATGTTTTAATTTAAAAAAAATAAATTTTATTATGGAAGAAGATTATCATCGGAACTATCACGAAAATTGCCACACCAATCTCAAAACTCTTCTGACTAATTCAGCAAAGCCAAATTATTACTCATTGTTCTAATATTGAGGCAGGTTGAGAAGATTCAAACAAATTTACACTCAAAATCCACAATAAAGTCACTTGATAAATGTTTTAATGTCTTCTTACCAACAAATTGTTGATGTTTATCAACATGTTGAGAAAGATAATCTCATGCACTCGTTAGCTGACTTATGAGCAACTGAATCGATTGCCTAACTACTCGTTAATGAATATTATTAATACCAATTCGTGTCACTTTCCGTAAAGCTTTTTCTATAAAACTTAACATTGTATGTATTCGCTTATCAACATTTTTATCAGCAATGCCATGAAATTATTGCTCAGGAGATAAGAATTTCAAAAGGCGTGGAGTTATAAAAGCATAATATAAAAGCGTCATTCTAGTCTTTATCTAGATATTGATATTGCCGAGTTGTATCGCGTGATGTCTCGACGTAAATGATTAAAAATATCAACGAAGCAAACTTACTTCTTCATCACTGTTATCACCATCGCTGTTGACTGGTGAGTAGAAACTTTGGCGATAACTTTCTGGTGGCCTTTGAAGACCCGTTTGGTAGATAGAGTGAAGGAATGGAGCAAGAAGTGGAGTTGATTCTCTTATAGAAGATGAATTTAAAGCTATGGAAGAAGTTTACAAGTTAAAATTTATGAAAGTTCTCAAATTAATGTCAGAAATTCTTACCTTGTGTGAGTGTTCTTGAATACTCTTCCTGTGGAATCATTCGACTATCAAGAAACCAAGCTTCAAACCACGATATCACAAAAGAGATTATAATTAATAAAACTTGAAATACGGGCTGTTGTGGAGTCAATTGATTGGATGGCCATTCATAATAGAAAACTTTTGTTATTAGAAATCCACAAGAGAATGTCGTAGTGAAGGCGATTATTATCCAATGATTTACTTGAAGAATCCCGTAGAAAAATATTAGAATAAGAAAACGTCCACACGCTGCAACCACCACATCAAATAATGATTTCTCGATCGTGTAATCGAAAATTTGCTTTTCAAGCACTTTGTAAATATTTTCTCCATTGATTACAATGCAAATGAGCCAGAGAAGTGATATGAAAATCAGATCAAATGTAACAAATAAGCAGAAGAACCTTCGAACAACTGACATGCGTCTGGACGGTTGATATCCGGCTATGAAATCTTCACTGAAGAAGTTTATTGGTGGATGATCTAAAATAATAAAAAATATTAAAAAAATAACAAAATAGGTTCAATAAAACTTACAATAATCATGTCTACTTCCATCCATTTTTGATATTATTATTTAATTAAATAAATGGAACAGATGTAGGGAATGTTTTTATGACTTTAAACTTCTGGTGATGTCATAAAAAGTAAATCTGCAAATACAATCAAATTCAATTAAAAACAAAGAACTTTTTTTATCGTTTTTACGCTATCTCACCATTGCTTTTAAGAAAGTGTTTGTTTTATAATTGAATTTGTAAAGTTGGTTAAGAATAGAAGTATTTTTTTCCTTATTTATACAAGAAGGATTCGTGAGAAGAAAGCGATCAGCATAAACAAAATCAGGAATAGAATTTTAAAAATCATTTGAGTTATTTTACGGCACATCACTTAGATTCACTTTTAAATCCTTTAATTTAAAAAGAAGATTAAAATTAAATCAAATAGTTTAAATCAATCAGCTATTCTATTTTAATGTTACTTTTCTGATTCATAAAAGAACTTCCTTGGTGATGAAAACAAACAAAATTTTTCATTTCGAAATGGGCAAAATACGGCACTTTGTCACCCAATAAAATTCGAAAGCATTTTCGAAAATTTGAATTGAAATTGTAACGGATGAATTTATGAAGAGCTTTTTAACTGTCAATCTGATTGAAGTTTGTTATTAAATTAAATTAAATTTAGTGATACAAAATATTGTTCAAGCATATTCATGAGTCATTTCCTCTATTAAAAGAAATAGGTTATATCAATTTTTATTGAACATAATGATTTCTTATGTCAGAGCTTTCATTAGGAAATTAATTCTCAAAGTTACACGGTTTCATTGATATCTAATTACAGTCGCCAATATTAAAATCTTTTTTAATTGTTTTATAAACCCTGTTACATTGAACATTACTAGAATATCCTCCCATACATAAAATCTATCTAATAATTAAGCCGTCTTGTAAATTTAATTCCAAGAAAATACACAAACATTACGTAAACGAATGAGTTGCAAATGAAACTATGAAGACTGATAATTGAAAGATTGAAAGCGTGCTAGAAACTAATAGTTCTGCTGCTGATATAAAAAGTTATAGCATTCAAATTAAAATGTTTTCTTGTTGTATATCTACATGTCTAAATGCTTTCGAATCAGTAAATATCGTGAAATTGAGTTTACTTAAATAAAAACTTTTTTCTCGATCAATAAAACAAGTTTGGCTGCTTTGTCCTTTGCTATATATTGTTGGCTACATGTTTAACACGTTTCCCCATACACACTTCAAGTTGTCACGATACACCGGAATGTCGGAGCGAATGCTACCTCTTTGAGACTCAAAGAGCTTTATTTATATTTTACTTGTATAGTTGTAAATATCGTTGTGTGTTGAATGTTTTTTTTTTATTTTTCGCTCGTAGAGCAAAAACGGGAACTTGTATGTTATTTGCAATTCGAAAGTCACAGAGAGCAGAAAGCTTCTCAAATTTGTGCTTCATAAAAATTAGAAGAAATCAAAAGTAAAAAATTTAACTAAAGTCATCATTGTTAAATTGAAATTTTTAATTTCAGTTAGATAAAGAACATTAAATTTCCTTCTTTTAAACCTTAAAGTTATTGGAAATTTGTCAAGAAAGTTTCTCAAGTGGTGGTAGATGCTTAAAGATTTCAATAATAAAATTTCGATGTGTGCGAAGCTGAGATTAAAGCGAGAAGAAGAAAAAAAGTTTTCGTTTCTCTTTCTTTGTCTCTCATGTCCAAGCCGAGTGTATAAAGTTCAACTTAAGTAGTGAAGAAGAAAACGCTAAAGCTTCAAGACGCGAGAATTAAGTGTAAGGAAAAAAAATAATATTTTTATTTTTTGAGCAACGTTTTACAATTCCATCAACACAGCAGCGTACATTGCTTACAAAAGAGTTGACTTCATAATTTTATAATCAAATATTGCAAAGATGTTCTCAACTTCAATCTACAGAGAAGTGGTAAGAATTAAAATCTTTTTATTTTATTATTTATTTATTCCTTATTCGACATCTTTCAACTTGTAAAGAGTTTATAAATTATAGTGTTTAAATGCAAGAAATATAAATTAGCGAAAATGTTGATTCATGATTTGTACCGTTATAATTTGACCTGACTTTATATTTACTACTATTGTGAAATGATCAACAAAATAAATAATTAAAAGTATTGAAAAGAATTTGTCGCGTTGGAAGCAAATTCTGGTTGTGGCTTCAATCATAATAATAATAAAAAAGAAAAAATGATCTGGATGCTAATATTCATTCCACGAGTCAACATAATCTGGAAAAGTTTGCGAAAAGCCGGTTACACTAATCCTGCTAATCTCATGGTAATTTATTCTAAGAGCACCAAATTTAGAAGAGAACGATATCATCGGCGTGAATAAAAGAATATTTTTAGTTTTCGTTTTATTCAGAGCGCAATAATTCATAATCAAACATATTTTTTTCTTATCACGAGAAAACACTGAAGCAAGCACAGTTCTGATCGAAATAAACGTTTTTTTCATTTCATTTTTTCGTTGTTATATTTTATTGATACATTGCTGCTGATAACCCAGGAACGCAATTGATAACAAATAAAATTACCACGTGCTGATAACAATGCTTATTATAGAAGTTAAAGAAAAGTTTTTATTATCTTTACACATATTTGAATATTAAGAAGCAATTTAAATTGAATTTCGTAATTACTCAATCGTTTGAATTGCTACAATTTACTCACTTCAATTTAAAAAGAATCTCGTTGTTAGATTATGCAAGAGCTTTTAAGTAGTTGTTCATCCCACATTCACAATAGAATAGCGAGCGATCAGATAAAATATCTTTACTATGCTTTGCGAAACAAAAGGGTTTTTCCCGATACATGATCGCAATAAGTATGTTAGTCATGATTCAAGATAATTCATGATGCAATTCACTTTCTACTCTCAGACGTGGAGCCAAATGATTGGTAAATGTGGTAAATGGATGAACAACGAAAAAGAAAAAAATCTTAACTTAACTCATACAAGTAACGATTTTTTTTCTCTTAAGATTATTTTTAATTCTTTTCATACATTAACTCATCCAATGAACGGTTTAACACGCACTTAATGGATGTGGGTTGATTAATAAGTTACGTAATCGAAATCTAGGAAAAATTCGATGAAATGGATTTTCCATGATGTGTTAACTTAGTTTCGTCGCAACATTTTACTTTTTTTTTTGCGAAAGTTTATTTATTGAATAAGAAGTGTGATTAGCCCCACTGCTGAGAGAGCTTACCTTGAAGTAAAATAGCAGAAAATTGCCAATGACGTCAGCTTTGGAGCAAATTGAATTCGATTTACTCTAAATTGTTGAGAATAAAGCGCACCTCTGAATCATTAAACTCTCATTTATATAGCTGAGATATTTAAATTGGCGACGAAGTTATTAAGTTTCATCTCGCTATAAAATCGATCATTCCACAAATACTTACAAGCTAAGACGATTTTGTTTTTATTTTTTTTCCTTCTTCTTTCAATATTCCAAACGAAAAGATATATGAAAGAGAAAATGAATGTTTTATTTTTATGTCGAGAGAAATTTCACTTTTTGCTGTCGTCAGCAACTTAAGCTTTTTTTAATTTTATATGCACACCTTTTTATTTAAGTGCGTTGATTTGGGCGATCAAACATTTGCTTATTTTAAAAAATAAAATTCGCCATTGTTTGAGAAACTAGAAATCGACGGTATGACTCAGAATCAGGTTTATTAACATGAGAAACTGATTTATTTGTTTAATAAATCAAATTGACTTTTAATAAAAATCAAGAATGAGAATGAAATCTAACCGAGATATTTTTATGCTGATTGAATATTTCACCCTCAAATTCAATTAAAAACTTCAACAATGCTTGAGTCAATGGCATAAAGGCAGCTGGTCTCATATTTAATGATTCAGTCTAAATAGTTAGAATGCGACTTTGATATTTTCTTTGTTCAACTCTTAATAATTATTAAGAAAAATATTTCAACGCTCGTGTTAATTTCAATTACAATCCGTTGGAATGAAACCGAGTTTAAAACCTTAAAAGTGCATAAACATGACAAGCCCAAGAAAAATAAAATATCATAAAATCATTTTCGCAAAGCTATAAAATATTTTTATTTATTCATCTTTCATCTTGAAACGTTTTTAACAATTTTTTTATTGAAACAAGTCCCATGTTCACACAAATGTGAGCTTACAAGATATGAATTAGTTTGTGTACAAAAACCGGGTAAAAACCTGTCAGCCTTGAAGTTTCTGATGTTGTTACGATATATTTTCGATTTCACTGCTTTTGTGTGTGTTTGTAAGTTTGTTAAGCGGTCACCGCAGATCTCATAAATGTATCTCGAAAAGCTTTAAAAGATTTCTCATTTCTTGTAAGCTTCAAAGCTTCAAAACTCTGTGATGTTATAAGTCACATAGGCCATCATTTTATTTGTTACTTCTTCTAAAAAAGTTTTTTTCCCTCTGCTACAAACACTAGCACGGCGTCGTTCTAAATCTCAGCTCTCCTCAACAATTTGGAATGTTAACTTTACATTTTCATTTGTCTCCATCTCAAACTTATTTGTGTCTTTGCAAGAACTCGTGGTGAATTCTCAAGGATGAATTCTTGATCTGAATTTGTATTCAATTCAATGTTCACGCTTGAATCCGTAACGTTTTAATCGATTTTTATGACTGAAGTAAGCAGATGGGGAAAAACCATAAAGTACATTCACGTTTTACGTAAATGATGAATTTTGCACGCCACTGCTTCAATGTATGTGTGTGTTTGTGTGCATAGAATAGCAAAAGAATGAGATCGAATACGAAGAAATAAAATTAATTTATTCAAACATTGTGGGGCGATCATTCCAGCTTAAAGCAAAAAGGAACAAACAGACAAGACAAGCAACGAGAAAAGAAAAAAAAGAAGCTTTCAGAACTCGTATGTCTTTAGTGAATATCCGAAGTCGCAAGAAAAATATATTTAAGAATCCAATGTTGTTTGAAACAGCACGGAAGCGTGTGGTGTAAGAATATTCTTTAAGCGCGCGTGGTATGAAGAGATTTGAAAACTTCATAAGAATAAATTATCAATAAGTCTTTGATAATAGCTATCGAAGCTGGTGGTCAACCGGCAAAAATCAAAGCTAGTGACAGTTTAACGCTGTTGATTTTCATAGTTTATGTGCGACTATCAAATATCGAGTATTTTAAAATCCTAAAGAATTCTAATATCATCCATTCAAATGAATAATAAAAAAGAATGAAGTTGTGGATAATCTAGATTTTGATTCGCAACAGCTTTACGCTATTAAGCAATGAAGGTGTTCCTTTAAAGCATAGATATTCATAAATTCTTCTTCTGTTTTTGTTCTATTCAATTCATTCTAGTCAAGCACAACAAGTTTATTCCAACAACAACCGAACTACGACTTAAACGCTTTCTTAAGTGACAACAATTCAACATCCTATGGTATCGACAGTTTTGATCTTTCACTCTTGGGATCTGATTACTCATTCGACAATTATCAAAATCCACAAATTAAATGTGAAGATGTCGTCATACCGTCAATTGAAACGGCTAACAATTTAACATTGTCGATAGAAATTGATAACAGCGGTTATCAATATCCTACGCAAACCCAATTAAAGCAGGAAGATAACCTGGATTGGAAGCAGCAACAGTACTATTTACAGTCATCCTCATTGCTTTCACCAATCAGTCCAGCTACAACCATTAACAGTTCACCATCGCCTTGTCCGTCTGTTGAATATTCGACGAATATCAAGCAAGAGCAACAACTTTTATTGCCACCATCACCGCCTGATTCTAATGGTGTTCCATCACCACAAAGCATCCATTGTTGTGATAACTTTAAAGTTGAACAGTTTGACGATCAAACTTATTCAGTGTTGAGCCCCAATTGTGCTGAGAATTCAATCGATATAAAGTATTTACTTGAATCAACGACGAGTGGTAAACAAAAGCAGCAAGATCATCAAGTTTTACGTGAATTTCTTCAAGATACTTCTTTCCAACGCAAACATAATTTAAAACCTTTGGCGCTGGAGTCTTTGTTCGGTGGATTGACTCAGCAAGGCGACATTGAGCCAGTCATTTCACTCGCCCTTCAACATGCGAAACAGGAAGTTCAAGCGACATGTAGTGCTTTGAAGATCTCGCCAGATCCCCAACAATGGACTGAACAGCAAGTGCAGTTATGGATCAATTCGACAATCAAGCAATTCAAACTCGAATCAACTGGCAACTTTGAACTTTTGTTTCCCGAAAATGGTCAAATGTTTGCTATGCTGAGTGATGAAGAATTCATTCATCGTGCCCCACAGGTGAGAGAATGACGCAAATATTTTTTTTCTTTTTTCTTATCATTGTTTGACAAACAATTTCATTGATGAATTTAGATTGGCAGCATTTTACATGCGCAGTTAGAAATATGGAAGGCAGCTTATGTCGATGCTTCGTATAATGATAGCAATGTTTTGACGTCATCAACAGCCGTTGGAACGTCGTCTACAGCAAACACAGCTGGCTCGTCTATCAACTCAAATTTATCGCAGACTTCTTTATGGAATCAAATGCTTAATGATGACAGCGAAATAAGTGACGGTACGTTTTAAAAATATCTGAAAACTTTTCGTGACTTGTGTGATTTTAAAGAATTTTTATTTTATTTCTTCATTTTTTTTTGTGTGCTGTTATTTGTTTTCAGATGACGATTCTGATTTACCTATGGAAGTTGATTTGAGTGCTTCACCAACAACGAAATCACTTGCAGATGCGACTGATGTGCAAGGTGAAACATCAAACACACCAACGACAGTGCCAACAAGTGGAAAAGCAAAAACACCGAAGAAACATCACACTCATTTGCAAAAGAAAGGCGCTCAATCATCTCACATTCATTTATGGCAGTTTTTAAAGGAATTATTGGCAACACCTCAGGCTCACGGTACCGCTATTCGTTGGCTTGATCGCTCGAAAGGAATCTTCAAGATCGAAGATTCTGTAAGAGTAGCGAGATTATGGGGACGTCGTAAGAACCGTCCCGCAATGAACTACGACAAACTTTCACGCTCCATCCGACAATATTACAAGAAAGGAATCATGAAGAAGACGGAGCGTTCACAACGCTTAGTCTATCAATTTTGTCATCCATACAGCTTGTAAGATTAACTTAATTGAATACAATTAACAATTAATCGTTAGTTTATAAGCTTATGGTGTGGATGATTGAATGATTGAGATTAAGTGATTTCATAAGTTAAAATTTTAATTTTATCTTTATTCTTGTTAACGTCGAAGTTAAGAGTTTTGTTATTTAGAAGAGTAATTAATAAGCTATCGTCAAATGGCATTAGTATGATGTCATAGTCGATGTTTAGAAGTTTATTTTTTAGTTGTCCTATGACGTAGTTCAACATAAGCACAACAAATGGTGGGAAGGTAATTTCTCATTCCATTTATTCAAGAAATTAACATCCGAGTCCTGAAAAACAAAAGCAAATGTAAAGTTTGCTGATCAGCAGAGTTACCAACCGAGTAGATTCTAAATCGCATTGGCGATTGTAAGTTTTCTCTTTCGCAAATCGTTGTCACACTCTCTCAAGAAGAAACAAAGTCAGATAGAATGCGGATATACGTGAGATTACATATTTTTATATTTTCTGAAAATGTGAAACTTGTTTGTGCCCGCGTTTAATTCTTTCCCGGCTTTGTGTGTGTGTGTATGTGCGATTAGCAAGCGAAATGAGTCGAAAGTGTTTGGTAAAATTTTGTCCCATATATCTATGATATATTTATAAACAAGTAAGTTCTATGAACACATAAAATACTTAAAGATTTTTTTTTATTATTCTTTCATATCGTTTGGGTTTGAAGAAAGTTCATTTAATGTACGTGTATGGTCAAAGTTATGACATGCAATTAGAATTATTTAAATATTTTATTATTATGGATCCATCTGAAGAATATTTCAATTGAAAAAAGTTTTCTCTTCAACTAAAATATTTTATTTATATTTAACTTTAAGACGTTCTTAATTAAAGAATTACTTAAGAGGGTGATTGGGATAATTTTCTACTTATTAAATATTTTTATTCATTATTCAGAAGAAGAAAATTTTTCTTTCACGATTGAAATATTTTTCAGCAACTTTCTAATTTTTTATTGTTTATTTTGAAGAATAATTTTTTAATTTCAAGAAATATTTTTGCGCAATGAAAAGTTTTGAGATTAAATAGTTAAAACAAATTGTTTGTTTAAAAAAACATGAAAACTCTACAAGAATCGGTACCAAATTATTTTGTTGAGTTTTCATGTTTTTCACATCGTGGATCGTTTGTTTGATTTTCCGGTTGTGAAAATTGAATTAAGCTTTCTGCGAAGATTTTTATTTCACTCATTTGAATAAACTAAATATTTTTGTAGTTGCTAAGAAGAAGTTAAGTTTTTAAGAACATAAATACTTATTTAAATGTTAAAATATTTAGATAATAAAAAAAATGAAACCATGATCAACATTAAAAGTTGAGATGGCTGGGTGGAAAGCAAATAATATCATAAATATCATAGATTATTAAGAGAGATTTCTTTTTGTACGAAAACGATTACTTAATTAATTGCCAATTTTCATACTTAACAAACCTTAAGTCTCTAAGTTGTTTAACAAATTATTATTAAGTTTAAATACATTTTTTTATTGTATTAAAATTATATTTTAAAACGATTAAATAAAAGGTGATTTGGAAGAAGCGCTAAAAAAGCAAAATCATTGACTTCTTATTAGTTATCGATGAATTTGAATTCGAATTTAATTAGAAACTGTTCGAATAAAGAAACGAGAAAAGTTTGTCAGCAAATTAGCAATTAGCTTTCTGTAAATTGCAACCCCAAAACCCAATATTCTCATTTATGCAAATGTGAATTGTGATTACACATGTTCCATTATAAACTTTGATTGTTTCACATGGGAAATGCTTTTGTAATTTAAATTAACAATAAAAGTAAGTTTTCCAACATTTTAATGCATTTCATCATTCAAAAGCTTCCACACTCGAAACAAATCAACTTCCAATGGTGAATCAACGACCATCAACTGAAACTTTCTCTTCATCAACAAGCAACAACAAAATAATTGAATTTTTATTTTTCTTTTATTTTCTTATTTTTCACTTTTTAATTAAAAAATATAGTTTTACAGATTAGATACTAAACATTTTCCACATTTTTAAAAGGAAGGCTTTCATTGGAATTGATCAGAAAATGTGATAAGCTGCGTGTTCATAAAACATATCTATTTATTGATTAAATATTATAAAGAAGACAAAAGACTCCGGAATGAACATTTTTTTCTTAAACATTTAGGCAGATATCTTAGACATTGAAAAAAGGTGTAAGAAATAAAACATTTTTTCTCTTAATTCTCCCGTTTATTATGCGTCAACACAATTAACGATCAGCGAGAAGGTTTTCAAAGTTGCCTTCATCGCCGAGTGATTTCTTTAACTCTTCTATAATTACTCTATGGCTTTCAGTGTTTATATGTGTAAGTGTGAATATGTTTGTGTCGATGTGTGTATAATACAAAACGATAGAAATTTCTTTTAAAAGCAGTTTTAAATCAACTGACATTCTAACAATCGTTTTTCTTTCTTTCTTCTCTTTCAACGAAAAAATTATTTGATATTTCTTGTCCTATAATTAAAAATTATGATCAAGACGCGGACAGTGTTAAAAGTATTGGGAAAAAATAGTCTAAATGAAAAGAATTGAATAGACTAAAGATGGTGGTTTGCATGAGATTTCTTTTCATTACAAAAAATATATTTAAAGATTAAATAGTCTTAGAAAAAAAACAAAAATTTAAATTTTTTTGTAACAATTCCTCAATCCAATCCACCATCAGACTATGATAAGCTTTTTATGGTAATCATTCCATCTTGCTTATGTACAAACTGCACCGCGTCTTTAACTGTTAAACTAACAAAATATTTTCTTCACATCTTTCTTTTTCTAAATTATTTTTGAGACTACCAAAAAGAAAATTTTAAACAAAGTCAAATGTTTCTTTAAAAATTATTCGATTCTAATGAAAGGCCAAATATCTTTTGAAATTATTTCTTCAAAAATTTTCCTGATTTAGCATTTTTTTAAGATAAATTAAATTAAGTATTTAGCTTGTTTATCTCTATCAGATTTTTTTTCTTTCATATTTATATCACCCACGAGGATTATTCTTTTATTCTCTCATTAAACGGATGTGTTGCCCTTTGCCTTGCCATTTGTGGCTTTAATGACGACGTCATCGGCTCCCGTTTCTGGTTCATCATCAGCTGACTTTTCATGCTGCTCGTAATGTTCGTGAGTTTTATCATCTTCAGGAGCAATTTGTGCTTCAGAATCGGGGCCATTAGGATGCATCGAGTCGCCTACAACGCAAAGTCTTTGAACAAATTGGCACCGAATCAATGATTTCATGTGGTTAATATTGTTAGTTATGGTGAACTTTAATTTCAATGATTTATTGTGTGTGGTGTTGAAGTGAGTAAGAGAGAAGGAGAGAGAACAAGATAAAAAGTTTTTCCTTTTGTTCTTCATGTGAAAATTATTTAGTCAGATGAATTTGTGCTGAATGAATTTGAATTTGCATTTGAGTAATTTCGTGTAGTTTTTTTTTATGTTTTATGTTGTGTAAGAATTAAACACATGATTCTTTCTTACCTGCAAAACACCAACGTTTTGTAATTTTTGCAACCACAACCAGCACAACAATTACGAGGACAAGAAGTGAAATTATTGTAATGGCGACGATTGAAACAATGCCAAGTCCCGAGTCTTAAAAGAAAAATAATAATAAAAGTGAAACGTCGTAAGTTGAGCATGAAATGAAAAATAATTAAATTAATGAATATTTACCTGGTGCGTCTTGTGACCCACCAATGCGAATTCGGTAATCAGTCGCGCCAAATGCGTTACTAGCTCGAAGTTGATAAGTTCTTGTCGTATCTTGAAGAGTCAATTCAATAATTGTCAATGATGCATTCCATATTGAAACGCCAACTTGAATTGGCTCATTCGCAACATATCTTTGAGTTTGTTGACCTTCATCGATGACAACTCCATCGACAGTCCATCTCAATGTAGGTCTTGGATTCGCTTGAATGGATATTGGACCAATGGTAGCCGTTGAACCAATTTCAAGACCGGAAATGATTGTTTCTGGTTTCGCAAGAGGTCGATAGTTCACATTCAATTGCATGCGAGCGTCAGCAAAGCCTTCTGGATATCCAGGATGGTAAGCACGGCAAATAAGGAAACGTGTGTTATCGTCAGGCCTCACTCGATAACGAAGTTTTGAATAAACCGTGTAATAAATTGTTCCTTCATTGGGACTATCGACAATTTCTTCTTCTCCTGGTCCAAGCAATTGATCATCCAAATACCACGTGATGTTAGCTGCTGGTCTTCCATCAACTGACGAACATTCCACTTCAATCTCTTTATCTGCTTCAAGATCTTTAATGTTGCTACTTTCAATTACGGGAAGTTGCGGTGCTTTGGCAATAACAATTTCGATATTTCCAATAGCATCGAGGCCACCATCATTAGGATCCAAAATGCATGTTGCATTTCCATGATATTCTTTTCTAATACTTAAAATTGTCAAGCCACAATTTCCATTCTCAAGGCCACTACCGTGGTAACGGAAATTATCGTTTCTTTTCCATGTTGGATTTAATTTGATTTCTTCTGGCACGCCTGGGATGATAAATCGACATGAAGTGATTGGAAGAGCGATACGACACATAAGATTGAGTGTTTGGCCTTCTTGTGTTGCGACATATTTAGGCTCGGCATCGGCTATTCGTCGATTTCCTTGACCGTCAACAGTTGATAAAAATCCTAGAAAAAATAAAAAGTTGCGAATGTTAAAACACAAAACTGTTATGTGGTAATAACTCAACAAAAGGCAAACGCGTAAAAGCATAAAACCACAATCATGATAAATACGTTGAGCATAATTTTTTGCATAATAAATAGAAGAGCGACGTGCTGAAATGGTGTCAAACTATTCATTATAACGATTATATTGCCACAATGGTTGCAATACGAGATTTCATTTGACGGAAGACGAAGCAAAAGAAATAAAGAAGAAAAAAAATCATAAAACTTGCGTTCATTTGATTGTTATGAAATTTAAATCGAATAAAATTCAATGATCTTCTATTGAGAGACGACATCGTGTCGGTTATTATTTTAAAAAAAGTTGTTCGTGCCTTCAAAGGCGGAAACTTCCATCCCCAAAAAACCTTCGAAAAGAAAAACTTTCTTCCTTCTTTTGTATGTCAATGGCCTAAGTTGGTGTTCAAAAAAAATTGTTTAAATCAAATTTAAAGAGAAAAGCAAGAACGCGAGTCAAATTTCCGTGCGAAACGGTAAATTAAGAGACCATTAAGCTTATGTTTCATTCGGCAACGTCATTAAGCTTTGTTTTAAACCTTTGTTTGCCAACAATTGAGAGTAAATTAAGCTGTGATCACGTTAAGAGATGACGAAGGAGGGAAAACTTCAAGTGAGATCAATTCTCAAGATCTCATGTTCATGGCTTTTGATTCTCCCATTTAAACGTTCATGAAATTTGAAGTTTGTCAACCTCGCTGTGATTTTTTTTACTCACATTTTCGCTTTTAACCGCGATTCAATTTCTAAGTAATTTTTATTTCTTTTTTATTTCAATTCTCATCGATACAAGTTCAGCTCGTTTGGCAGCAGTTCATTGCGCAACAACAGTTTTGCGCTTAGTTCAACATGAACAATTTTTATTATTATTTTACTTCAATCTGATCTCGACATTATGCGCTTTGATGCCAATTACTCGATTTTCATTCGGTGATTTCTCAACAGTGTTTGGATTTTTTTTATTATTTCTTTTTGATTTCTTTTCTCACCCTCACTCTTTTGTGCTTGAGTATAAGTTAATATTTTCGATGCCAACGTTCTATACAACATCGGCAATAGCATTGATCTGAATATTTACTCCAACAAACGGTTTATTTTTTATTTTTCGTCTTTCTTTCTTTCTTTTTTCATTTCATTGCGATTGTTGCGAGTGAAAACAATTTTTTTTAAATAGCGCTAAACGATTTATGAGATTGAATTGACTTCAAGATGTTGTTGAACGGAAGATTTTCTATTTAAACATTTGGAAGTGCATGATAAGCATATATTTTTGAATTAGAAACAAAATAAAAAAGAGATTTGAAAGCATCAAAATTTTATCGATCTCAAGTTAGCGATAACTGCAAATGCGAATTAATTCCACGACTGTTGAAAGCATTTGTTCGGGTTGTGAAAAGAAGAACGAGAAAGAAATCATGATCACGATGATGTTGTTGTTTATAAATTATAATTCACTCCTTTCAAACATGTTTCTGACGATCCTCTCTTGAGATTTTGCGTCTACCTAATAATCATCAACGATTTTGCTTTTTTTCTCTTTTTGCTTCCATCATCTTTACACTTTCTCACTTTTCCCTTTCTTGGAAACTGATATTCGCTTCAATTCTTGATATTTTTACTTTATTTTATTTTTGCAGGCTACTAAACCAGATCGCATAATTGAATTTCATTTTAAACTTCTTATTAATACAAAAGTTTATGTTGGATAGCGCGCCAAATTGCCAATATGGAAATAAACCTATTTAATGTAGATGAAACTTCTTATTCACGTCTGGGTGTGTTCCACATTGTCGGGATCTTCACGATGTTGTTTATTTTTCTCTCTCTATTTCTTTTTCTTCTCGCCTTACTAGCAAATACTTTTATTATTTATTATTGTATTGCATTAATATTAGTTTTTGGATTTCCTTATGTTAAAATAATGTTTTCTTACTTTTATTTCAAAAAAAAAATCTTTAAACAGACTTGCAAAGTAGAACAAGATGAAGAATAACATTGAAGGCAAAAAAATAACATTGGCGAGGTTCACTTAGGGATCAGAAGGAGTAGACAACAAAAGAGAGAGAAAAAGGTTTAAAATTAAAACAAAAGACACGAAAATTTCAAGCAGCTTTTCAGATACATAATAACGTCGAGTCTTTTGAATTGAGAAACGGTTGAAAAGGTAAAACGTGTAAGCTACAGAAGTAAAATAGAAAAATGTGATGTTGATCAATCATTGTGTGTGTGTGCAAGTGTTTCTTACATATTTCTATTGCTGTTTTCATTTAGTCTATGATGTCGAAAGACGAAAAGCGGAGAAGAAAAATAAAATTAGAAACAGAGAAAACCCGTTCATGGTCTTCAAATATCAACAAGTTGTTGATTTTTCTTATTCTTCTTTATTTTTCTTCTCGTCAGCGTGCATGCTTTCATCTCGCTCTTCTACAAAGTCTATGTAGGTTTGTCTCTTCGACCTCTTCTTAAATTTACGAGTTTCTACACTTAATATAAGAAGCTGGCTTTGTGGACGCTTTATTTTTCTTGTATGTTAATACAAATGTGCTTTTAATTCGTCATTCACTTGGAACGCATTTGTCGACATTTTAAAATGTTCATAAAATTTTTATGAATCGCTTTCGGGTCAAGTGGATGGTTGGAAATTTTAATTTTTCACTACATATCAACAATTTTGCTATATTTCAAGATAAAAACTATTGTAATTCCAGCTACACCACGCACTGCCACATGGTATGTGGAAATAATTAAGAAGAGTCAATTATGAGTCAAAGTCAACTCTCAATTTCCATTCTATTCTAATTGTCGCCGATTCATTTTTTTATCTTCTTTGTCAATGACAAACAACAGATTCCATTGTGCACAGAATCAGCATAAAATTAATTTTACTTAAATTTCATCAGTGTTGTTTTGGGTGAAGAAGAAAAAATTTTCCAAACGATTGTGTAACATCAAGATGAAGTAGAATGGAATAATAATAAGAAACTTATGTAAATAATATTCTTAGTCGTCATCTTTTTCTACATATTTATTTTTTCCATCCACAAATGATCGTAAATTATTTTATTGTATTTTCTTAACAAGAACGTTTACCTATCTCTCGGTAGAGATAACACAAAAGCAAACATTGGTGTCGGAAGATGTTGGTTGTTGCTTGGCTAAAGTTCTCTTAACTCCTTTCCTTATACATTTCGACACGAGAAAACTTTCTCATCCGACACATTGACACAAAAGAAATAAGAAGAAAAATGAAAATATATAAAAAAATGCTTCATAAGCAGCACAAAGTACAACGAGCTGAATGAAGAAAGAGAAGGAAAGATTAAGAAATGATAGTCATCATCAAAAAAAATAAAGAAACGGTCAAAATATGAAAACAACTTTTCTCATAAATTTAATTAATATCTACATTAGCTATCAACATGAAAGGATCAACAAAGGATATTTAGAAAGTTTGAATGTAAACGAGAATAATGCATAACATTAAATACACAGGAGATCGCCGCTCTTGGTCATTTCAATATTAACGGTTATTCTATTGTTTGTAATGTGAAAGGTGAAACACCAACACAAGTGCGACGAAACAACTCAAGAAACATGCATGAGTGGTCAGATACAAAGCACCATGAGAACGTTTTATATTATAAGCAAGCACGTTAGACGGAATGAGAAGAAAAAAAAAAATGTTAAGTCTTTGATAATCGGCTGTAAACAACGCGAAGGGAAAACGCCCAAGAGAGTACGATGTAAAGTTTTGCATGTTTTTTTCATTTTTTCTAAAAGGAATGGGATTGAGGGAGCGTCCTGAATATTGAAATTAACCACCGTTTCATCACAAAACGCGCGTAGTAAATTTATGGTTAGCTCGTGTCTACAAGCGGAGAACTTTCCAGGTCAACCGTTCTGGGAGTTCTTTTGTGGAATTGGACATGCAAATAAAATGTATAAGTAGACTTAAAAAGGAGAGAAAGAAATACTTAGCATTAAGGAAAGGCAGGTAATTGAAGCTTACTTCAATTGTACCTGAAAATGGATATTGTAATCCGAAGCAGGTAAAAGCGCGAATGAATTGTGAGTTGTTGCATTACCCCGAAAAATATGACAAAAGCGGCATTGAGAAATATGAGAATGACGGTGACTAACGTCCAACTGTATTGATGTGTTAATTGTTTTTACAAGGAAATTCTATGATTTTTCGAATGATGAAATTGAGGCACACGCAAACAGAAGCGATCGTTTGATAGCACAAGATACTTTTGTGGAACAAAAAATAAACTTCTTCAAACTGGTTTTTGGCTATTTAGGTGCGGAGTGTTGCTGTATAATAATTTTTTCTCTAAACATTTATTTTTTTTCGTTTTTATTTTTAAGACATATTTGCAATGTCGTTCTTCTTCCAACAATAACATTAAACGAAAGTTGATTTTTTACTCTTTTTTTTTCTTTAAATAATTGTTTCCACTTTTTTTAACTACTACGTGTGACAATTCGAGTAATTTTTTTCATATCAATCTTTGTTTGCATTGTGATTGATGATGATAGAAAGTTGGGACGGGACGATTGCAAGTATTTTAAAATAAAATGTTTTTGATAGTTTATTACAAAATGATGCTATGAAAGATTGCAGCACGATTAGTGAACTGAAACTACCTAACGGATGAAGCAACCAATCGATCAATCACCCCATCGAAGAACCGACATTGCCTAATGAATCCCTTTCACTATTCCCGTCTGATACATTCTCCTTCTCACTTAAAAAAAGATTTCATTTCATCTTTCGGCTCAACGCTCCAACAAAATGAAGAAGCAAACAAATAAAACTGTTGAATGCTTTATATTTCTATCTCTTTTTATCTTCATTCCACAGGTATCCCATTGTTCCATACACACACTTACCTAAGAAAGCTACTATTGCGAGAAGTGATGATTTTCGTTTATCCAACATGATTAATTTAAATGCTTGACTGTTTTTGGCACTGATAACTTTCTTTTCCTTGTGGTTTTCTGTCTTTTAAACAATAAGTTCTCCTTCAAATTGCTGAATTAAGTTCAACACATTTCTTCTTCTTTACAGTCTAAAAAAAGGTGTGTGAGTCACTCCTGAGTGTTTCTTTTTTGCGTTTTGTAATTTTTGCAGGCTTATCAAAAGCTAACTTATATGTTTTCTATTGTTTTTAAGTTATTCTGCTTCACTAAGTGCAAGTTAATTACAAAATGTGTAATCTACTTTAAACTTTAATATTAATACCGGAAAATAAAAATTACGGTCTTACTTCGTCAAATGCTTAAAGCTTTGTGATGAAGAAATTTTTTTCGAGAGAGAAATGCGGCTTAGAGAAAACCTTGGAGAAAACATTAAACAAAGCGCTCAGTTTCAACAGGTTCCACCACTCGGAATTATGGAACGGCATGAAAATGGAATATCGTATAAATTATTAAAGCAGATGTCGATGTGTGAGTGTGACATTCGGACACAAATGATAATAAATTCAGCTTTCAAGGCAACTTTGTTGTTCTCTCGCTTATTTTGCAACAATTTTGAATTCTTTTTTAATTCAATAATGAAAAATTAGTCAACTAATAAAATTAAAAAATTACAAAACTTAACACAACCAAAACATAAAACATGAGCACATTCAACGGAGAAATTGCACAGATTCCTGGAATATCAGTTGATCATTTCGAATGTTGTCAACAGAATTGTTATTTCTTATCTCATTGTCACACAGATCATATGAAAGGATTATCTGAGCTTCAAACAGATGCACCAGTGTATATGACTACAATATCAGCTCTCTTTGTCAATAAAAAATATCCAGATCTTAAGATCAACATTAAAACATTGGAATATGATCTTCCGGTTGTGGTTGAAGACAAAGGTGTTGTGAAAAGTTTTGTGGTCACAGCTTTATCAGCTGGTCATTGTGCGGGTTCATGCATGTTTTTATTCCAACTCGATAATTGTAATATTCTCTATACCGGTGATTTCCGTATATCATTGAAAAACAGGGAAACGTTAAAATTGATTGAAGACATCAAAAAACATTCCAATTTTGTTTTGTACATTGATTCAACGTTCTTCAATCAAAGTTATCCCGAGTTTCCATCTCAATCCGAAAGCTGTGTGAAAATTACAAACATTATAGAAACATTCTTGTCACGATCAAAAATTATTCAAGGTTTGTTATCAATTAAAAATCTCTTTACATAACTTTATGAAATTAAATAAAATTTTCCAGTTCACATTCATACACCTGCACGATATGGATACGAAAGATTGATAATTGAAATAGGATTAAAGTTAAAGATGAAAACTTTAATCCATGAAGCTGAAATATTTGAGCAATATCTTAGAATTCCACAAATTGCTTCATCTGTCACAATGGATCATCAGGAAACAAGAATTTCTTTAAAGCCTAAGTTCGTTTCAAGCTTATTTCAAGAAAACACAAAAGGCACAGATAATGTCTTAAATCTTCACTTATCAGCAATGTTTTGGTCTAATTGGGATGGAGGATCTTTTGTTCGAAAAATCTCAGAAAATTCATTTCGAGTTTGTTATGCAACTCACAATAGCTTCAATGAGATTAAAGATTTCGTCTTATCAGTAAAACCAAAAGAAGTTTATTTGAATGTGATGCCAAATAGCTTTGAAGAAAGAAATATTATGTTGAAACAGCTCGACATGATAAAAAGTCAGTATTTGCAAGATAAGAAGAAACAACAAACACTTGACAGACCGATTTTTTCTTTCAAACGTTTGAGACGAATGCATACAACAGAAGCATCAGAAGAAGAAACTTAATTAGTCATAATTAACGATCACCATGTGTTCATTAGTACCTAAAAATAAGCTTTGTCATTAGCAGTTGTAAATTATTAATAAAATAAGAATTTTTTCATTGACAATTATTTTCTCAAATCTTCACATGTTTTCTTTCACATTTCACGCCTTTACCATACGTTAGACATTAAAATTTAAATGAAAAAAGCGTTTAAATAGTTTCGATGTGTGTTTCATTTAAAAAACTTGGAAGAAATGAATTTCTTGGTTTTTAAATGACAAGAAAGTAACTTTTTATGATTTGTGTTGGTTGCAACTTGTAAGTTTTTGGAGAACAATGCAATTTCACCGACTAACTGTAAATAAAAAGAAGTTACTTCTGGAAGATAATGATATTTGTTTATCTGCAGTTGCAATTGTTGACTAAACGTTTTTCCATTTTCTTTTTCATTTAGATATTTATATTTTGATCGTGAAGGTAAATTCATTGATGAAATAAAGTTGAAAAATTATGTTTTGTTTCTCCAAATTTTTTTATTTGGATTTTATTTATTATGTAGTCAAAATTATTTATTATGTAGTTAATCATCTTTTAAAGCGAAAATATGTTTTTTTCAAAATTATGTAAACATTGTATCCACCCAAATCAATTCCATTCTGTGTGAAGCAAAAATTGAATCGCCACTGTTCACATGGTAAACCCGGTGGAACGAAATTGAAATGTTCTGCTTTGAACTATGCTTTTAATAATTATCTGCTTGTCCATCGTTGGATAAGGGCAAGAATCCTGTCATATTTACATTGACATCATGTCCAAGAGGTTTATGTAAGCTTCCATTTCCATTAATGACGTATCAGGGGATGAGAATTGATTTAACTTTATTTCAAGGTAAATAAATGAAATATAATTTTTAAGTAAGTTCAATTCATACGCTGTTCTGTTAAATTTTTTAACTCTCACTGTGCCAGCGTCAAAAACAATTAATCCATCTTCACCAGGGACAGATTCTACTCTGTCAAATCTTACATCATAAAACGCAGACTAAAATTGAAAATAATTCTTAACATTTTTAAAATATTTATTAAATTTATTGCTTCTGCATTGAAAATGATAAACAGAAAAATTGGGAAGAGAATTTTAAATTTCATGTTTAGTAAAACAAACAAGAGAAAAATTGATTTAACTAAACTTAAACAACTTCCAGATTTTGTATTTAAACTTATTCCACAGATCTGATTTGTAATTAAAAATGAAAAAATGTTTCACATATTAATCATAGATCTGCATGCATTAAACTATCATTTGGCAGAACTTGACATGCGAATCAATTAGATTCGTTGCTTTATATATTACTTATTTATATGTTATAATAAAGCTTTAACATTTAGATAAGCCCAAATTAATGATTTGTCAGTTTGTTTCAGTTATAACAAACTATGTATGTACATATAAAAAGGTGAAAATTTTAATCTATTAAAAAATAATTAATAAAAAAATATTTTCCAAACTTATTTATCTGGATTGGCTTTATTTTGTAGTCAAGAATCGCTAATCATCCTTTTAAGCGAAAACTTTATATTTTGTTAAAATTAGGTAAATATTGAATCCACCAAAATCAGTTCCATTCTGTGAAAAACGAAAATTGAACCGCCACTGTTCACCTGGTAATCCCGGTGGGATAAAATTGAAATGTTCTTTCTTCAAAGCATAATTAATTATTTGCTTGTCCATCGCTGGATACGGACAAGCATCCCAAGGCACTGGATTTGTTGTGTGTGCTTCAAAATCTTCGAGAACTTCTTTATGTCCGGGTAAGATCTTAAACTCACAAAAACTAGTAGTCTTGCTGGAATAAATCTTGTATTCACCGGCTTCAAAGTAGAATCCCGTCATATTTACATTGACATCGTATCCAAGAGGTTTATGTAAGCTTCCATTTCCGTTAATGACGTATCTGGGGAATAAAGATGATGTAAATTCATTTAATTTTTAAAGTTCGAACGAAATAAGTTCAATTCATACGCTGTTCTGTTGAATTTTTTAACTCTCACTGTCCCAGCATCAAAAACAATTAATCCATCTTCACCAGGGACAGTTTCTATTCTGTCAAATGTTATATCATAATACGCAGACTGAAATTAAAAAAAAAATTAATATTTCTTTTTTAATTCTCTTTAATAAATTTAA